CAGTTGGAGCAGACGACGAAGTCATCGTCATCAAAATGCAAAACCTACGCATTTTATTTATATTTTTTTCTACTCATTTACTTTTATTTTTCTCTCACTACTAGCCGTGGGTTGCTTTTTATATTTTTTTTATTTATTTATTTTTTTTTTAGCTGTAGTCAAATGTTCTTTTGTTAACCGCAAGCGCATACAACAATAAAACATTTAAAATATAAAATTTACCTGGTTGCCTTTGCCGTTGATTGCTGTTGATTTTTGGCAGTTTGGCAGATGTCGAAGACGCCCACGTTGCAAGTCCAACTAACTGAATTGCTTGACCAGCTGTGTAAGCTGAGTGTTAATTAAAGCATTAATCGTTTCGCACGAATGGGCGTACTGTGCCAGACCCAAATTGCTCAATTTGCAAGCAACTTGACCTTCAATCCATGCACTTCAACCTGACATGTGGACGATTTATCCTCAAAAAATTGTTGTTGTTAACTTGGCCAACTCAAGTACAAGCAAGTGGCAAGGAGTGGGGCATAGAGGGGCGGAAGCTACAAGGTACGGGGCGGAGAGTGTTGTCTTCTACTCGTTCCATGAATGAGTCGCATCGAATGCATTGAATTGAATTGTGTGTATTGCAATCGTATACAATGAGTTATAAAGGCAATAAAATGTATCCCAATTTCAAGTACGCGACATCTCTCGACTTGGCTTTTGTATTTTTAGCGCATATTGGAAACATATCAAAACGAACAACGTAAAGCAGCCGCAACAGCAACAGCAACAGCAACAATAACAACAACAACAACAATCAACAACTGCCACATGGAGCTGTAAAGATGTTTTTACCGATTTTAGAAGTCATAAGGTCAATGCTGAGTGCGCCAAGCGCCAAGATCGTGTTTTGATTGGGAATCGCTGTTGTGTTGCGTCTCGCCTCGTTTGTTGTTGCCCCGTTGTAGAAGTTGTTGATGTTGCCTGGCGTCGTCTCTTGTCAAGTGTTATGACTCGTCCAATCCGGCTGTCCAATCTGTCTGCGTTAGTTTAAAGCTGCAGCCAACAAAGCGGCTTCACTGTGCTTAATGCGCTTGGTTCCCAGACAGATCCAAACATGATGTTTTTGTTGTTGTTGCCGTTTGTTGTTGATAAGGCAACATCAGCAACAACTCAACAGTGAAATCAATATGAACATGAAAATGAAAATGAAGTTGCTCATAGATTAAAAAAACATTTTTAGATCATGCAAGTTAAAATTTATGATTGTACTTAGTGGACAAATTTTATTTAATCCGCAAAACTCTGAATTAAACCCAGGCTGCAATTGGCTGTTTTAATATTCCTATAGTGTAGAATCATTAAAGATTTTACATTTATTTTTAATTTGAAACTTCCATTTTGATTTAAAAATTTAAAGAAAATAAGACATAGAAACTTGACTTTATCTTATAAATATTGTATTAGAAGTATTTTAAATTATTCTGTACCTACAATTTTCTGGTGTAGCTAACGATCTTACTTTAATCCGAGTGCTGTGTTAAACTATTAAAATGCTGACTTACTTGTTCTTCTACAACTGATTTAACTTATGCCGTCACAGCTGGTATTCAAAATTAATGTAACCTTAATTGATATTCAAACTATTAATGCTTTGAGAAACTTAAATAATCATAATCTCCGCAGACCTTCACGATTGCAATGAGGGTGCAAGATTTTGCATTGTGTCGGTCAATGTTGCATTTAAAAATTTGTGTAGCTAAATCAACGAACTTGGATTTATCAATTAATAGCCAGTTATTGTGCTATTGTTAAGTACAAACACTTTGCTCAATGACCATTTATTTTTATGTTTGTTGTGGGACAAATCGACAATTGCAAATTCGTTACGGCTGCCGCCTGCAGCTCGTAAAAATCCAATAAAAGATTATGAAAATTGTGCAGTCAGCAACAGAAACAGCAGCACCAACAACGCCTACGCATTAAATCGAAAATAATAAAATAAATAAATATTGCTTCGAACACTCCCATAGAAAATTAATAGAAAATGAGCGACGGCTACTTTGAAGAGGCTGCAGCTCCGTTTGCTACAATTTGCTACAGGTGGCAGTAACAACAACAACAACAACAACACGCAACAGAAGCAATAGCAACAAAAGCAGCTAAACGACCTTGCGCTTATTGCAACAGTTCTGCTTGCGTCGCTGCTGACGTCGCTGCTGGCGTTTTGCTGTTTACACATTTGTAAATCTGATCATGTTTACTTTTATATTTGTTGAATCTCGTGTGCTGCTTGTTGTCTCATGTCAAGTGTCCTATGTGGCGTATGCTTAATTTGTGAACAAGCCACGAAAGCAATTTTGAATTGAAAATTGATAAACTATTTGAGGCATTCCCAAATGCACTTTGCACAACATTTAATCACATTAAGCGCAGCAGCTGTGTGAACAAACGGCCTGTGAATTTGTTAAAGAGCCCGAGCATAATTTATACACAACATTCATTATTAAAATGTCGCTAGACATTGAAAGCGACAACAGCCGCACGGCCCGAGAAACGAGACAGATGGTTAGACAGAGAGACAGTGGGATAGTGAGACAGTGGGACAAACAACAAACCAAACGTTCGCTGAGAATTGAAAAGTTTTGAAATACGTGAATTATTACTTGCACTTTAACTTGGCTCCGAGCGAGGCGATGACGATGAAAATATTTTACAATCTCAGCGCCTGCCAATTTGTATGCATGTGCGCCGCAAGTGTGTGTGTGTGTGTGTGAGTGTGTGTAGTTGACATTTTATAGACGGGCGACGGCGACACCGAGTCGCCACCTGTCGCTTGTCTGAACTGGGGGAGGCGGGGTGGTGTGTGGGTGCAGAGGACAACTTCAATATGACAAAGCCATTTGCGCCTGTCAACGCCCCGCAATTGTCTCCAGTTGGGCTTTAAGCCAAGATAAATGAGTCGAGACTGAAACTCCAAAGACTCGAAGAAAAAAAACTCCAAAAGGCAAAAAATCCAAAAGCAAAAACCGACAAAAGAAAAGATCTTTGCACCTTTGACAAAATTCTAATTAGTCTCAGAGCTGTTCTTTCTTTTGAGTTCATTAACATTTTAGTTCACCTTTCGTCATGTGTGTGTGACTGAGTGTGTGTACTCTTCTCAGACATTTCCGTCGGGTCGTGCTGCCAACTCTGTTTACATTTCAATTAAACTCGCATTTTTCGTTGCTCTGCTTTGCATAAAACAAATTGACAATAAATACCTGGCCAATATTACCACATTCGACTAGCGAACTACGTCTCTGGGCCTAATGGAACCAGTTTAGCCGATAAGCATTTAATTTATCGGCCCAACAGGCTCGCATATATAGCCCATTCATACATACATACATTTATACATATCGGTTAACTATATATGTTCATATATAGAGAGCTTTGGCTGCTCAAACTGTTGTGCGGGTGTTGTTTCGATACAAAATTTAAGCACCAGCTTTACTACACTATTCAACAAAGTTGTTCTTGCTTCGTAAAATTACTCAAGTTGAAGAAATTCCAATTGAAGTAAAGTTGATTTTATATAAATTAAATATATGTATTTCTTTTTGTTCTAAAAATTTAAATGTGTCAAAACTATTCAACTAAAGTCTATTTGTAAAATTTAGTGCTTGTTTTAGCTGAAATACAAACATTATCATAGCTTATACTTCTCATAAATATTTTGCTCGCTTTTCAATTGCAAAATGAAAAATTTGCATTTATTAATGTAGCAATAGATGATGTGTTGTCAACTTGTTTTACTATTAAATTGAAAACAATGGACTTTTAATTAATTGACAACTAGACATTTAATGTGCAGTCGATATCTTGATCTTGATTCTAACGCAACTGTGTTGCAAAGTGTATGCTTTTAAATATTCATTAGAATTTCAATTAGAAAGACAGCCAACGACTCTGACAGCAAAAATCGCAAAATGTTTTAACATTTTGATTGAGAACTTGTTTCCAGAATGTTGTCTGCGATTTAAGGTATTGTCATATTTGAGATTGTATGGATTATCGGAAATGTTCGCAGCGAGCACTTGTGGTATCAAAGTGGCATATCTAAAGGATGTCATGTTAAAATATCTGTCATTTATGTTATGTTATTTTATTGGATTTCATTAGCGACGCCGCTCAAAACGTCACTCGGGCAACAGCAACAAAAACAATGGCAACAGCAAAAAAAATATATACAAATAATAATAATAAATACAAAACATGGGCATTTAGCGCACAAACAAATTATAATTTCAAATGGCACAAAGTGCCACTTGAGATCGCAGCTCTTAACAAAAATGTTAAATATTTTATCGGCCTTTTTTGTTGTTTTTGTTGCTATTACTGCTATTGGGTCTGCTGTTGTAATTTAATGAAAATGTTGTAGTTTAATATGCGAAAACTTAAATGTCAGGCTTTTGTCGGCGTTTTGTGCCTTAACACTTTTCGACTAATTTTTGTTTTGTTTTGCTTTGTTTTTTGTTAGCAACTAATCGAATGCGTCGCATGCCTTAAGTGTAAGCAAATTAACAAGATCATTTACTATAATTGAGATGGAGATCTCGAAGGCGGAACCCCGACTTAGATGGAGAACGGGCCGGGCCGGCTAACAGCTTTGATCTTGGCTCCATTTTTGACCGTCAAAAGTGCAGTTGAGAAATCAAAGCAATTGGCTCCAGCCAGCAGCGCCCCCTGGCGGCTCAATAGCCAAAATGAATTTATGGGAATATGGAATATGGGCTTGGGGTAGAGAGATCATAAATTAATTAAGAGCGCTGCATGAACGGCATTTCAAATACATAGATATATATATATATAAATATATATAAAGAAAAAATATGGGACACTGCCTGACAGAGGCCGAGGGCCAGCCACAATTGATTAGCCCACGAAACGGGTGCACCCCCGGCTTTTGTTGTTGTTGTCTAATGCAATCCGAACTTAAATCTATATTCATGGGCAACATTTTTTCATCTTATTTACAGATTCAGCGCACGAGAGAGGCGTTCGGCATGACGGAAACTGTTTAGGCATTCAATGCGGCGATCAGCAACCAAGTCCATGTCCAAATCCAAGAACTGAGAACCTTTGCAACTAGCCGCAAATAAATCGATCGAACGAATTGCGTCCGAGCGGCGTGACAAGCACCCCTCCCATCTCCCGCCTCCACCCTTCGACCCCAACCCACCGAGTGTAAGGCCACAAAAAAACAAGGCACAGAAATGGACGCATGCATCGGCCTGGATTGCATAGTCGAGAATCGTGACTATATTGCCAAGTGGGGCTCTGCCCTAGACACGCAGAATGTGACGGTGAAGAAGCAGGTCTTCGAGCTGCTCGCAGCGCTCTGCGCCCACAACTCCGACGGCTATGTCCGTGCCATCGAAACTCTCGAGTTTTACAAGGTATATATAATAGATTATCTTTTATTTTACATATACCTTGCATAATCATATCATTCAATATTTTATCACATTATTCGCGTAGAATCTCAAAAATGAACGGTATCGCTTCAAAATTGTCATCAATGAGTTGGAACAGTCCTGCGCCCTGATAACGCCACCATTGGACTATCAAAAAGCATTGCTGATTTTCATTAACTGCGTCATCTTAAAAGAACCCAATCTGCAGGAACGCATTCGCATACGCAACGAGTTTATAGGTAAGATCCCTATTTATAATTTCTCTGTTATTTATTATTATTATTCGCAAGTCAAAAAACAATCAGAGTTAAAAGATTTATTCATGATTCATTCATATGATTCATACTTAGAGAACTTTATAATCCCAAGTCTCCCATGATAATTAATACCTGTAGTACATCCCCAATTTAAATTTGTGTTCGCTAATTGTTAACGTTGTTACGTTTGTTTGGAGTTCTGTTTCTGTTTATGCTTTCTGCTTTCTGCCAACGCTGATAAGCAACAAATCATATTGATAAACACATTAGGCCAACCATACAAAAAGTCATCAGTCGACCTCTCTCCCCTGCCATCCTCTCCCCATCATACCTCTTCACCCAAATTTCGAGTCAACTGCTTTGCCCCCTTGGGCTTTGCTAGCTGTCTTCGATTTCATTGATTTGATTGATGTGCCCGCTGATCCGCTAACGGCGCCGCTGATCGGCACTGCCCTTGACCATATACCAAACCATAGAGCAAACAACATATGCCCAGTTGAAGTTGGTTAACTGCATGTCACAGCCACACCAGAGACCCTCGGGGTATGCGGTGCTTTGGGGGATCTGGGGGTCGTTGGATAATTATGATCTCGGCATCTGCTTTGCCATACTCAACCAGCAATCATCGAATCGCCAACTCGCCTTTGTCTCTTGACGCACTCCAATTGGGTAACCTTAGCACGTGCCAACGATTTGAGGTGCGTCTTTAAAGTAAATATCGGGTTCGGCACCTTTTCTTGGTCAATTAAAACTTACTCGTGAAAAGCCCATAACTAGAATTTAACTAATTGTGAACCGTGACCGGCGTTTCAAAACCAAAAACGTGGCTTTGGACATTTTTGAAAAGAGATAAAGGAAAAATCCCGTTATCTATTTTGACTGGACACATAAACATGGTTGGAAAATATATTTTTGTTTACTCTGGGCGTGTCCAAAGTAATTTGAATTTTTCAAGTTAGTTAAAGTCGAATTCAGCATTATAAATTATGTCTTATAGCAATATGAAATGCCACCCAGCCTATGAATCGGAAATCATCCAATGTCTAAAATTAAATAAAGTTGTGTCTTCCCATGTTTGACTATTAAAAATAATTTGAATATGCTTTGTCATTAAAAAAGATATTAAGTGTTTGCTACATGAATATTCTCATGCTCAGCGTTTTTGATTGTTCTTGTATGGTGTCTACCAGCTGTCGTGAGATTAAAACTAAGGGTTGTCCAGTGAGTTACAGCAACAAATTGTTATTTAATTCTGCCTTGTCGGGTTCTACTTGAGAGCTCTGCAATATCAACAACATAGACACGTAGTTAAAATATAATAAGTCGCCTTTATTCCACAGTTGTTGACAAACAAGGGACGCACTCACATCCTGTCCCTGACATTGCATTCAGCTTCCCCCCAAGCCCGGCTGTCTGCTTGTCCCCACCGCCTTTGCCCCCTTTGGCAAAGTTCATGAACTGTAATGACGCCTTCAAAAACTCCATCCTCCATCTGCAGTCGCATCTCTAAATGTGGTCGGCAGTCGTCAGACCCGCTTCTCTTCGTATGATTCGTATGACTTTGATTGAGCGCAGTTCTGCGTGCAACGCAGTGGCAGCAGCAGCAGCAGCAGCAGTTGCAGTCGCCGCCTGCGCAGGCGCAGACGCAGTACCAAGTGTGGGGAACATTCGCTGATGCGTTGAATGATGGCTGCACTTGCCGCATATAGCTGGCTGTTGGAAGGGGTGCTGAAGGGGGGGCGGCATTTTATTGTTCTTAATTAAAATAAATTGAGCTGCGCTTTTTCAGCATTACAAGCAAATAATAAATAAAGCAGCTGCGACAAAATCGACAAAATCTCAACTCTAAAATGTAAGTCACGCACTCCACCTCCAACTGCAGCACTCCGGACAGAGAACGGTGTGAGGGGTGGAGGGGGAGGGGGCCCGGTTGTGAGTTTGGTAGCACATTTTACACAAATGCAATGTTCATATCGAGTTGGAACATTCCTCAGCGACAGATTTGACAAGCAACGGCCGCATTTTGTTTGGCAATGAGATGATGTATTCAGTTTCAAGGCTGTTGGCCCCCAATGCTCATCCGATCTCTTGGCCCGCTCCCTTCTCCATCGGCGCAACGTGCATACCAATCTTTGAGTTTCCAGGAACGCCCCAGCATGATAAATATTTGCATATTCTCAGTTTTTGTTGTTTGTGCTCTTTGAAATCTGCTAATGCCACTTAAGTGCCCAATTATCAGCTCAATCCCTCTCTCCCTCTCCGTCTCCATCTCTCTCTCTCTCTCTCTCTCTCACTCTCTCACTCTAAGAATTGGAATCCGTACAAGATCTGGTCATAGTATTGCCATCGTATCTGCTGTATGTCATCTGTCAAGTCCATCGCTGCCGGCTGTGCGGCGTTTACTGATTTATGCCCCATGATTTTCCACTTTGGCACGCTAAGTTTTTCATAGTTTTGTTGTTTTTTTTTTTTTTTGCTGCTCGGACCGCGCCATAAATTTATTTATTTAACAATTTTCTCATTTAGTTGGCTGGCAAATTTCAATTTCAATTGATTTATAAAGCGTCAACAGCTTAACAATAAATACACATAGAACAAGGCAAAAAAAAAGCAAAAAACGACATACAAAAATATTCAAATCGAATTGATTTTGATTTCAATTTCTGTTTTGATTTTTAGTCTCTCTTTTTCTTTTTGCTCGTTGTTATGGCATGTTATTAAACAATTAATTGTAGATTTTGGGCGTGTCCCATGCAAATTCCTTGGCTGTAGGGCATGAGTACAATTGAAGCTGGTTATTATTTTTAAGATCGGTTCGACGAGTTCTCTCGATCCGCTAGTCAAGACCACGACTTCCGAAAACTTGAAACAATGCCCGGACAAAGAAACTTTAACACACAAACAGAAACTGACACACACACATTTTAATTGTGCGCCTTTTATGGTTTTCAATTTCAAATAAATGAAACGACAACGAAACACAAAGTCGTAAAATAAAATTATTAACGTCAAGGCGCCAAATACGGCAAACACAGGGTAGGCATGGAAAGGGGGGGATCGAGCAGAACAGAAGCTACAACGACTTTCACGAGCATTTTGTAATTAAGTTTTTATTATAAATTTATTTACAATACTATACACACAATTTAATATGCCTGTGTGCTGATTGTAAGTGCGCAAATAAAAGCAGGAGGCGAAAAAACGAGCTTGACCGGAAGCCACTTTGGGGAGCATTGGGCGGTTAGACCCAACAGCCACCAGTCCCCAGCCAGCAGTGGGAGTTGGGCAGTGGCACATGTTGAGCACAGTTAGAAAGATCTTGATGACAAAAGAATGTTAGCAACTTTCTCAAACTTCCTTCGTTGCTTTGATTTTTAGTTAGCAAAGTCGAAGTCAAATTTCTCTAGATTTTGCTATATTTTACTTTGTTTCCTTAGCATGTCTAAGAAATGAAACTAGGATATTTATTTGCTCAACACAGCACAAATTTTAGTCTTCCTCTGGTTTTGATTTCATTAAATGGCACATTTAGCCTAGAATTTGATATTTCTAAGTTTCAGCGATTTTAAAACGGAATTAATTCTTAGGCATTTACTTCCCTAGGTTACTTTTATGTTTATTTAAAAAATCAAATTATTTTTTAATATTTATAGACTTTTTCTTTATAGGAAAATTATATATATATTAATCATTAATATAACAATATCAACAGGATAATAGCTAAAATAATATAGCTATATCTATCACTCATCTGAGACTATATATATATATAGATATATTTAAAACCACTTAGTATTCATGTGTTATTTTCTTTTCTCTTACAGGCCTCAAAATATTGCCGCTGCTGAGTAATCTAAGGTGAGTGGAAGGTCTAAAGGCCATTTCATGGGACTTGTGTCTAGTCTTTAGGGGATGTCCCATGTGTTAGTCAAAGACATGGCCAGCCACCAACACCAATTTTAACTGACTTCAAGATTTGTGCATTTTGCCATGTATATGCTGAATCAAGACAATTTATGCAATGTTTGTTAACTGAAACCCTGAAACACACCCACTACAGCAACGGCAACAACAATTATAATAAAAACTGACAACATAGTCCAAATGAATATCACAAACAATTTAAAGCAAAATCGTTTTGCTATTTTATTTATTTTTTACACATTGAAATTTGCATGCAGCACTCAACTAGACAAGATCAAGGTCCGATCCCCTAGAAATTCACATGGGCATGCGAAGTGGCCCATCCGTAGTATAGGTGCCATCATTAACGTACGCCTAAGTGTGGTGGCCAAGTTTGGTCGATTTGGACGCTTGTCAAACATCCATCAAAAACAGCAGCGATCCGAACAAATTTTATTTAATCTTGTGTTTTGGGTTTTATGCAAATAAATTGCGTTGGTTTTGTTTTTATTTCTGTTTTTGTTTTGTGTGAGTCTGTCAAGCAATTAATTCAATATTTAATTAGTCAACAATAAATCAATTAGTTAGCCTTACCCCCTCCCACCTCCCCTGCTTTTAAACTGGTTTATTAATGGGCCTGGGCTCAAGTTGACAAACAAAATTTGACGCTTCAAGCAAAACTAAAACAAATTCAATTAATTTTTTGAAATAGTTCAGAAATGTACAATAACAATATGGCATTTAGGCATGCCAGTCAATCAGCTCACTGCCCCCGCTCTGTTGTGCTAACCCCCCCGCCTTGTCCACACATGTTGAGGCAGCTTCTTCGGCGTCTCGTCAGATAAAATGCTTAATTGATTGTTCGGTGCCATTTGTCTGCTGGCTCTATCTGAGGCCAAGTGAAGCCCATCCATTTTGTCATATGGCAGTTGACACGCCCCCCCTCCCCACCCCTATTCTACCCTTCTACCTACCCTGCTCATACACTTTGCTTAAATTAAATGCGTAGTTTCTCGCGCTTTTTAATTTATTTCAAATTTCAAATCGCTTTAAACGTTTTCAATGATCCGAACAGCGCTTTGATTTCAGCGCTCCTTAAGGGAGTGCTGTGCAGGGAGGTGGTTTTGGGGGGAATGGGGCTGAAGTCTCAGTTAGGTGCTATAAATAAACAGATATTCATTTGAGATATTCGGCTGCGTAGCTTGGAAGCTGCTGTGTTTGTTTAAGCGGATTTTAATTGCTGTCAAAACCAATGGGTTCTAATCAATCTGAAACGTAACTGACGTTGGCAATATTAAATTACACAAATTTTGTTTAAAAATAAATACTTATGTTTTGTGCTGAAGAATGACTAAGCTATGAACAAGCAAAACATAATGGATAAGGCTATTAAATCTTGTAGATTCGAAGTAGAGAAGTATTTTTTAACTCAAGACTGCCAGTGCTTAAACATCGAGTGTCTAATTAGCGTGCTAGATTTTATTAATTTGGCTATCTGAAAGTTGATTTGAGTATTTTGTACACCAGATCTCTGATAACATATGTTCTAGTTTTTCTAGCTTGATTTTTAGTAGGGTTCGTTAAGCGCTTTTTGATATCGATTTAACGGCTCTCGACTTTGCCGGTGTGAATTTCATTTACAAACAAGAGTGCTCCAGTCAAAAGAGTTCGACTAGAAGATGCCCTCTTGTCAAATATATACCTATCAAAAATCAATATTTACGCCTAAACGGATCCTTATGAATTTTTTTACAATTGATCAATTTAATGGACATGGCATGTTTCTATAAAAACTTGATCAGCATTTAGTATACGATAAGTTTTAAGTACAATTGAAATGTATATTAAATGTAGTAGCTCCTGTACAAACAGACAGATGGACATGGCTAGATCGACTCGGCTCAGGAAAATGTGTATTTCTGCCCTGGAATTGTACAACTCACTGATGCCACTTTCTATCCAATTTTAGTACAGGGTACAGGGTACAGGTTACAGGGTATAGAGAAGGCAAACTCAATATTCAGTTCTATTTTTCACTCTCTGGCATTTTGGCGTTTCGTTTTCGTTTCTGTAATTTGGCGTGTCAGTTTGCTCAACTTCCTCGGTGTTCATGGCAGAGCACGTTGCTCAGTTTTCATTTTGCCGCTTTTGGCACCCACATTTCGTTGCAGTATGATAAACAAGAAAACAGAAACTTCCGTGACGGACCAAAATAGAAGCCCATGCCAAAAACAACAACAACAATGTGGCATCACGTGCCGATGTTGTTGACGAAGTGTCTCGTCAAAATAAAAGAGCCCAAAGAGTTTGCGAGCTGTCGCTTTTGGCCTGGCAGTCTCTTCATAAATGCCAAGTCAACTTTCAACTTTGGAGAAATCAATGCGCGCGCAGCACGTGGCAAGGACAATGACAACAACAGCAGCTACGGCAACTGGCGAGTTGCTCTCTCTCTCTCTCGCTCTTTCTCTCTTTCGCTCTCTGTGTGGCTCCGTCTGGTCTGTGCGCCGTCAGCCACTGGCGTGTCCTGCCTGCGTCCTCGTTATTGCCATTGCCTTTGCCTTGCTTGCTGCTGGCTGTTGCCTCGTCGCACGTTTCACTCGCCACACCAGAAACACAATTGAAAAGCAATTACAAAAAAAGTGCCACTCGATTTATGGATATCAATTCACACAACCATAATAGGAGCCAATCTGTACAGGGACACGGCGCAAGGACATAAACTGCCTAACGCGCAAAACCAGCAACAACAACAACAACGACTCGGACAACAACAACTCGGACAACAGCAATTCGAACAACAATAAAAACAACGACAACTATCGAATATGGTTAACTCTGGCGGCTGCCTATAAACGTCGCGTCGCATTGAGTCGCATTGTGATTGCCAAGGCTGCTGCAAGGCAGGCAACGTGGAGTCATCATCCGAGTCCGATTCCGAGTCCGAGTTCGCGTCTCCGTTGCCGTTGTCACTGCCATTGCCATCGCAGCAGCAGCGCCGCCTCACGTTTTGTTGCTCGTTGCAACTAGTGCAGAATCTCAAGTGAGTCGCTGGCTGGGTGGTTACCTGGTTTGTGTGTGTTTATTTTATTATTTTTCTTGTGCACTGAACCCCTTTAAAATGGCTAAAAGGGTATCATGAAGTTGTGCAAATATATGTAACGTGCAGAGCAAAGCAACGTTGACCCAATCCACACTTGTATTATTGATCAGCATCAACAGCCCAGTTGATATATAGACATGTTCGTCTGGCTGACCCTCAGTGTGTCCGTCTCTTTGTCTGTATGAACCAGTCAAGTTTAGTGACTATCAGAGCTAAAGATTGATAATAAGGTTTGATTAATATATTTACATTTTCGTTAACAAAATATATATGAAAATCGATTATCGATCAAAATCGAAATGAGCAACAACAGCTATCCAATTCGGTACGAATGTACTTTGGCATAACATGGGTAAACTGTTTATTTATTGACACTTCAGGATATCTTCTCGTCGAGCTGCTTCGACTAGAGAATTCTTACATATATATATATATAATTTTTTTTTTGGCAACTTGCTCAATGTCAGGGCGAACACAAATTCGAGCTGTTGCTTTGCAGCAAAAAATGCAGTTGATCTGTCTGATTGGGTTTTTTTTCAGGGCTTCCCCAATTCTTGCAATAAATGTTTACATTTTCATACCCTCAGATTTATTATATTCTTTATTATTTATTCGTTTTAATTGTAGTTTAATTTCTTTTAATTGAATGTTACTTATTAAGTTATTTTTAAAGATTGCAGACTGTATTCAGTCAACATTAAATAAATAAAAGAATAGCCAAGTGCTTGGGACATATGAAGTATGGCAATAAATCACAAATCAATTAGTCTGCACAATTGTAAAGTGCAGGCAGAACAAATTGCTAATGGCTGCTTGAATAATAAGCACATTCAATGTGCACTTTGCAATTTGCAATTGACACATACATATGCATATTTATGAATGTATTAACATGTATTAACACTTATTACAATTACAGAAAGGTCGCACAGAGTGTGGGCGATATCATCGAACAATTGAACGTATTCGTGCAGCATCAGGATGCCGACGAGGCCCAGAGCCTACAGGCGCCCGATGGCATCAATCTCAACTCGCATCTTGATGTCTTCTATGCGATACTGCGACAGGTGAGTGTTAACTGGTTAATTCGTGTAAATAAAGACGAACGACCAATGTCAACACCTCCCACAGTTCCCTCTTCCTCTAACACTTGCCTTGGGGCGTATACTTATTATTTATATACCATTTCTAATGGATTTGCATATATGCATTTAATTTATATTAAGTATACGTGCCCTAGGCCCTGGCTTTGACTTAGGCTTTGGCTTAGTGGTCAGCGTGTGTACTTGGATAGGGGAGATAAGGGAGATAAGGGGGAATAAGGGGTGCTTGTAAACTTGCTGGTGGCGCTAAGCCAAGACTAAACAATGCCAAGGCGGACATTGCACGCGAACTGGGATAAATGTCAACTGGCAAATAAGCAGAAACGGTTAACGAGCGGTCAGTCTGAGAATTTTCATAATAGTAATCATATCTAATATAAATATCTGAATATCTCAAAATAATCTTGGAAAATAGTTAATACAATATAAAATATAGTTGAATTTTATTGCAGTAGTTTTTAAAAGAGTTGAAATATATATCTATTAATTTAGTTAGATCTCTGACATAAATAAACAGTGTGTTTTAAGCCCAGGAAAAGAGTTTTTCCTAAATTTGGGAATTTGAATTGAATTTGGGAATTTGAATTGAATTTGAAGCTGGGGAAAGTCTATATTTATTGATTGCACTAAGAGTATAGCGATAACATGTTCCAAGTCTCTAGTTGTATAAATCCAACTTTGATCACTTCCCGCATATATTCGGTGACTTACATTCTCAATTGTAAATCTTTCTCACTCTGCGCACCAGGTGGCCGACAAGCCACAGGAGGGGCCCTTCCTCAGCATATTGCAACATCTGCTGCGCATCGATTCGAAGGATCCGTTAAGCGATGTCATCTGGGACACCGCCGAGCGGCTGGTGCATCGCGCATCGTTGCTCGAAGCTCCCGAGGGTGCAGAGCGTCTGCTGCGCCATCAGACCTCTCAGAAGTTCACCTGCGCCAACTGTCGAGCCGGCGATGCCAGCAGTCCCACAAGGAAGCCCTCACAGCCGCATGCGCTGGCGGCGAAGCCACCGCCACCGCCACCGCCAGCCGCACCACCTGCACCACCAGCACCGCCGCCGCCACCCGTATCGTTTACAGTTAATGGCGCCGCGTTACCGCCACCACCACCGCCGCCGCCGGTGGGGAATGGAAATGCCCTACCCCCGCCTCCGCCACCACCCTCGGCGATGCGTTCAGTGACGCCACTGCCAGAGTCGGTGACGACTGTGCTGCTGCCACAGCAGAATACGCCAATGCCGACGACCAAGATGAAGTCAGTCAACTGGGGCACAATATCCGACAACAAGGTGGTGGGCAAAGATAACCTATGGAACCAGGTGGCCAACAACCATCGCGACGAAGAAAAATGGTTCGATTTCAGCAAGATGGAGGAACTCTTCCGCCAGCAGCCAACCAGCAGCGAGGGATCACCCAAGCCAACTACAAAGATCGGCAGGGATACGTTGGATCGGAAGGTCAAGAAGGAGAACACAGAGATCACGCTGCTCGATGGCAAGCGAAGCCTGAATGTTAACATCTTTTTGAAGCAGTTCCGCAACAGCAACGAGGGCATCATTCAACTGATCCGGCAAGGTGCACACAAGGAGATTCGCGCCGAGCGGCTACTCGGATTGCTCAATATTTTGCCCGAATCAAATGAGTTAAACATGCTGAAGAGCTTCAATGGGGATCGGACGCGTTTGGGCAGTGCGGAGCAGTTTCTGCTCCAATTGCTCGAGGTGCCCAAGTGAGTTCCTAGTTCGTAAAACTCAAAATCAAAACAGCATATTTACTTCCTTCTCTCTCTCTCTCTCTCTCTCTCTATCTCTATCTCTCTCTCTCTCTATCTCTATCTCTCTCTCTCTCTCTCTCTCTATCTCTATCTCTCTCTCTCTCTCTCTTCCCCACACAGCTACAAACTGCGCATTGAGAGCATGCTCCTCAAAGAGGAATTTCCCACAAATATGGCCTACCTGGAACCCTGCATCAATGCAATACTCTATGCCGGCGACAACCTGATTAGCAACACGGACTTGCATGAGGTCCTCTACATGATCGTCTATGCCGGCAATTTCCTCAACTCCGGTGGCTATGCGAAAAAAGCGGCTGGCGTCACGCTCGCCTCGCTGCACAAGCTCACGGAAATCAGGGCCAACAAGCCAGGCATGAATCTCATACACTTTGTTGCCATCCAGGCGGAGTGCAGGGATCCCAAACTGTTACAGTTCCCAGCACAGCTGACTATGCTTGAAAATGCCAGCAAGTAAGTATCAAAAAGTTGAATCAATTCTTGAGATTTTTTTTAAATTGGAAGAAGTCTTCTTAAAACTGCCTTTAGCGTTGCAGAACCGAAAGGAAGTTTATTTAAATAATCTTTATTTATAATTACAAACATACTATAAATTTGCATCACAAGTTTAAGATTAGTTTCACATCAGTGTATTAAAGTTATATACATAACTAATGAGGATACAGCATAGAATATTATATTACAGACTCCAGTCCTTCTGTCCTTCTGAATTATTAGTTTACAAACCAATCGATTCTTTCAATGGAACATATATTAGTGATATGGTAGTTTGCTGATGATAACTTTTCTATAGCTGTTATAATCTCTGAGATCAGCCTGTACATGCAGACGGACAAAAGAACATGGCTAAATCGATGTGCTGAGTTATATTTTATGTTGCCTATTTTCAACTTATGTTCAGTAAATCAGTCAGTCACAGCTAAGTTGATCGGATGACTTTACTAAAGCCACAATAGCAATTCAAATGCTATTAAGACTCACACATATTCCTTTCTTCGCAGAATCAACTCGGAGCAAATAAATAGCGAGATTGGCACCCTGGCAACTCGCATCAGGGGGATCACATTACAAATTGAGAAGCCCGCCACGGATGTGGATATAAAGCAGCAGATGTCGGAGTTTCTGCTGGCCGCCGCTTCGGATGTGGCTGTGCTGCAGTCGGGCATGAAACAGGTGGATTCGCTGCGACTGAAGTTGGCCGAGTTCTTTTGCGAGGATGCAGCGATCTTCAAGCTGGAGGAGTGCTTCAAGGTCTTTCACATTTTCTGTGACAATTTCAAGCAGGCAATCAAGGAGAACGAATACCGTGTGCAACAGGAGAAAAAGGCCGAGAAGCGAAACAAGGAGCAATTGGCCAGGAAATCAAAGCAAAGTGCGTGTACGCAGTGCGAAACCAATGCAATCTTGTTATCATCTCCTTTTCTTTGCTAACCTTTTGCAGTGGGCCAAGCAGGCACGCCCGTCTCCGATTCGGATTCATTTCTGGGCGATTCGCTGTTCGATCCGCGGGCTAGTCCTGCTTTGAGTCGACGCCACCTGGGCTCTGGCGAGATCAGCAATGGCTTCATACGCAACGAGCAGGAGTACAGCGGCTCGCCAGACATCACGCCAAATGGTAGTGTGCGTCAGCAGTCCAAACCCTTCCTGGCTGGCAAGGATGAACTGATGGTGCTTCTACTCAGCCCTGGCGGCCCCTACGAGAAACAGGTCAAAGGCCCCTACGGCAGCCTCGGTAAGTATCTTCTCCTCGATCATCTTTATTCCTTTCTCTCTTGCTGATTCTGACTCTCATTGACCCTCTTCCCTCTACAGATCGGTCTTGGGCGCCTCGTCGCAGACGTCCGGGCCTGTCTAGCATTGACTTTGGCGTCGATCGTGAACGGACCACCTCGCCAGCTCCGATGCTGCATCTGCAAAAGGGACCGGATCGCCTACAATCGCCACTAGCCAGCAGTGGCGCAACCACACCCACATCTCAGGCCAGTACGCCCATCAGCAATGGGCCAACGAATCTCCAGCAGCAGCAGCAACAGCAAATGTCCGCAGCGCCCAAGGATGGGAATCCGAGGTTAGACTTTTCAGACTTTTACACTTTTCCAAATCCCTTTCAGAACTAAACCCGAAACTAATAATAATAATGGAAATAATGGCTTTCTAAGGCCAATTGCTTTTGGTTCTTTGATCTAAATCAACTTAAATCTTTCTTAAACATTCTGTAAAAGTCCTAATTAAAGTATAAATATGAAATGAAAATAACTCAATAATTGATTTACAGCTTATCGCCTGAACGGCGCAGGAACATCGAAACTTGGCTGCAGTTCAACGGCAAGGAGGAGAAACCGAACGAAGAATCCAAGCGGAAACGTCGCCTGGCAAATGAGAATCGGCGATCGCTCGAAAACGAAACTGGTAAGCATTTTATGCAGCTGGACGCGTGCACACTCCATTCTATATAGCTAATCCAAATCTCTCTATATGTCACGTAGAAAACGAACGAAAACTGGATCCATTGCCAGAGGAAAAGATAATGACAACAACAACAACAACGACGGCAACAACGCCAACGACGATTACTAATCCGACAACTAACAACCAAAGGAACGTGGAGCAGTCCAGCAAATATCAGCGAGTCTATGCCGACTGGAAGCCGTCCAAGACACTGGAGAACACAGATGTCGTGGGCAACATCCAGGCCATACAAGATGCCACATCAACAGCAGCAGCAGCCGCAGCCGCACAGCCTGCTCAACCACATCTGACCACCGCGGAGGAGCTGCGTCAGTATCGGCGTCAGCGATCGCAGGAGCCGACCCAAAGTGTTAGTCCATTGCAATCGATTGCCGAGGAGGATCGTCGCAAGGTCATCATACAAAAGCTGGGCGAGGGCGATGGCAGCACCGATCGACTGAAGATCTATGTCCGACGGCCCTCCAACATGGACTTGCAGCCTGGCGCAGAGCTCAGGCGAAGCGTGGAGAAGGACACCTTTGCCAGTCTGCTGGATCATCACAAGAGTCACAACGAGGCAACGCCAAATGCGCCATCCGCTTCCTCCAAGGAAATCGATGCGGACAATATTGAGACACCGCCGGTGACACGACGCATCATCGCAACGCCAAATACGACAGTGGTAACTGTTAGCCTGACAGACAAGCCAAAGCGAACGCCGGAGGAGAAGAGCAACGTGGTCAGCACTACTGCAGTTGGAGTAGGAGGAACAGCAGATGCCAAGGAGCATGATGCACCCGGTCACTTTATTCGCAATACGATGGCTCGACGGACGCTGCGACACAAGCCACGGGCACCCACAGACTACAGCAGCGGCAACGAGGAGCTCATCACTCCTACTCAGGAAATCAAGCAGTCAGCTAGCGCCAGTGAAATACTACGCCAGCCCAAGGATGAGCCGCAACAGCCGGCAGAGAAGACGCGCACCATAACCAAACTGGAGAAAGTGGGTCGGCACATTAGCTCAATCAACCAGGAGGATGTGCGTGAGGCCATACGGAATCTGAAGTCCCCGACAGACACACCAGACCGTCCTTGGAGTCCGCCTCGCGATCTGACGCCCAACAAACTGAAGCTTAGCGCAAGCGGCCATCACGAGCTCAACGACGAGGGCTTCGAGGAGACGCAGAGTCTCGTCTCGGACACACCGTCGCATGGCAAGGGCGAGAGCACTAATTCCTCTTGCAACGAGGCTAATGAGGCGCCGACGCTCCAACGCTCCCGCCCGCTGGCCAAGCAGAGGACCAGCACCACCAGCATCAGTGCGATGGGCAGCCGTCTTTCGGATCGACTGCAGCAGGCGCGATTACGTGGCAGCTCAAGCAACCGGTCACAAAACCAAAACCAAATCAACACAGTAACACAACCAACAAATCCCAGTGCAGCGCAGCCCAAGCGCAGTCTCTCCGCAAGCCGGCCGTTGCGCATGCCCAATGGCAATCCAATGCAGAGTGCCACGTCCACGATAACACGCTCCTCATCTACATCAGCAGCAGCGGGTGTGCGACGTTCGCCCTATGAGCCGCCCCATTTTGCGCCCAAGCAGCGCGACGTGGAGCGCAGCAGTTCGCGGAATAGTTTACGTTCCTCCTCCTCCATAAATAGTGGCGCCTCCACACAGACAGTGGTGCGTCGGCTGCCCTCCGTGCAGCGTACAGCCACCGTCTCTGTCGATTCATCGCCCAGCAAGAGGCCGTTGGCAGCTCAGAATACATCACGCACAGCAGCCAACAACGGACGTGGTGTGCCCGCCAGTCGCAGTAGTAGCAGCGGCTCCAGCGTCGGACCCAGTGTTATACTTGTGCGCAGCAAGCTAGCAGGAGGCGCGCAGCGCAATGGTCAATCTCAGCCGTTGGGCAACAGCACCAGTTTCAAGGAGAATCAGACAGCACAAGCTGGTTCAGCAGGTGCCTCCAGACTGACAGCGGCGCGTAGTGTGATGCTGGTGAAGAATGCGATTAATCAGCAGGCCAACAAGAGCAGCAATCACAATAACAACAACAGCAGCAGCAACAACAACAGTAATCAGCAGCAGCGCCAACGTTCAGTTAGCAGCTTTATGCGTCCAACGGCCAGCAGTGCCACCAAGCGGCAGAAATAGGCGAAGTGGTAGAGGAAGAGAAACAGGCAACGTCCAAGTTAACGTCCCAAGTTTACAAACTCACACACACACACACACATATGAAAATACAAATCGAGAAATATGCATCTAATCAAAGCCGTCCAAAAAAGCAAACGACATCAAAACAGTCAACAAAAAAAAGACACAAAAAGCAAGAATAAACATTTCGAATTTCTAGGCAGGATTTTGCACAAACTATATTCCATATAATTGTTACACAAGTCGCACAAAAGCCACAGTTTTTAGCTCCCAGCGTTATTTATGAGCAATCGATATACACAATGTAGCCATCTAGTTTAGAGTGGGTCCAATCATTTGGGGATCCGATGATACCCAGCACATTCCAAAGTAATACTACACATATTGAAATATTCCAGAAGGTAAGCCAGCCCCGAGAAACAGAGGTGCGTTGTGGTTTCGTCACAAATGTGTTTCAAATGCGAAAGGTTTTCTTCTTATGCGCTTTTCATCGTTTCCAAGGACCTCTTACTTTCTAATTGTTGAGCAAAAGACAAATACTGTTAAAGTTCTTAATCATATATGTATTTGAAACAAAAAAAAATTTAAGTAAAATACTAGATTGTAAAACTACTCAACTCTAACTTAGCATTAAACACAAAAAAAAAAAAAAAAAATAAGCTAATGTTAAAGTCTTTTCCATATTAACATTAACAACTAGTTTTAGACATTATTCGATTATACATGTGTAGGAAAGTTCTTTTTATAGAAGCGCGTTATTTACAATTGAATAGTTGAAAACAAAAAATCATAATTGATATATGTATTGATATTGATACTGATGAACAAATGACAACTACAATTCTTAAACAAACAAAAAATCAAGCTTTAAAAATGCATAATAAATAAAATACAATAATAAAAGTAAAATAAAATGCGTACGATTTAATTGAATTCGTTATGAAAGTCGACTTTTGCCAGTGTTATCTTTTAGCCGGTATTGGCCATTACCCATGTTGTAGGATGCACATAATTATCCTTGTCAAACCATTCCTTATGGTTCTCCAAGTAGCTGAAAGCAATAATGAAAATTATTATTATTATCAGCAAGAAAATAGCATTGACTGCAATTTGACTTACTTGATGAAGGACTCGAGATGTGGGAGCAAATCTTCGAGCTTCTCATTTGATATAGGCAAATCATTGAGATATTCGGGCAACATAACTGCAGAAGCCACATAATTATGCAATTTGTTTGAGCAGAGAAGGAAGAGCTAAAACTTACCCAGCAAGCGTGCCAAATGTGGTGCTCCAAATACCATGGACTTCTCCGGCGGAGACTCGGCGGACAGGAGACTCCAGCTAAATGTCTCGCAGAGAAATCCGCGCATTTCCATGGGAAGCTTATAGGCAGCAGTGTACGGTGATGTGCGCTGATCGTAAGCGTGTGCTATATTATTATTATTCTTCGAAATGTAAAAAAGACACTTTTGTAGTTGCTTTTCGAATTCAATGTCGCCCAAAATTGCATCATCCACGCCATTGGTGGCATGCAAATCATCCATATCATCGTCTTGTACGATGCGCAAATTTTCACCGTTGGGATTTATGAATTCATAAGATTTATTCAATCCAGTGCCACGGCTGTTATTCATGTTGTCCACAAAAAGGTAGCGCAATACATGGCCCTTTTCCTCTTGGTAAAGCAGATCATCCAGATGAAACTCAAAGTAGAGACGCAGCCCGTCGACGACTTCCTTGAGCATGCAGACGCTACAAGATAACACAGACTGTATGACTCTACAACCGACAGATTTATAATTATACTGAGTACTCACTTGGACATTACACGATCGTATTCACGCTCCATGCGCGCATTGCGGCTCTGTGTGTTGCGCGCTCGCGAACTGTCCTGCTTAATGCTGATGGCCAGCTCGACGGCTCGCTGCTTGACGAAATTCTCCAATATGGCGACGATAGGCATGCGGGAGGGCAGGTTGTGCTGCTTCTCGAACTTTGTGATCATGTTGTAGTCGTATTCCATGTACTCACGCAAACGTTCGCTCAGACGCAACACCACGCGATCCTCCATGTGCATGTGGCTCTCTGCATTAACTACGCCCTTGCTTTTCGGTGTGCTGTGCATGGTAAGCCGAGACCTTTTCGGTTCAGGCTCACTGTTCGTTTCTGTAAGGTTTTTGCGACTGCCACTGTTATTTCGCGACCGACTGCCGCTATCATCCCGCGATAGGCTGCCTTTCTTCTGCTGCATCGGCAGTTCGGGATCCGGTGTTGAGGGCAGCTGTGCTTGGAATATGTCTAGGGGATCAGCTGACAGCTCATCTGCATAAACTCCGCCGCGAGTCATGCGTTTCTTCTTCGCAGCTGGTACCGTCGGCGTCTTTGTATCTTTGTACGAGTAGCCGCCGCTTCTGCAAAAATGTAAACAAATCATTTACACACTCACTCACACACACTTGCACACACACTTGCACACACACTTACTTTTGTAGTTGGGCTGCTTCTGCCAGCTCTCGTTGCAATTTGCGATTTTCTTCGTTGTCTTTTAACAGACTCGTGGCGCGCACATTTCGATCCCACGATGAGTTCCAACCTTGAAAATGTATTTTGTAGTCAAAGTAGCACCAATTCGTGGCGTCCTTTCGCTCGTAAACGGCCAAAACCTAAAGTGAAAAACAGATTTTACGCTGTGAAAATTCGCAAGAACCAAACTCGTTTGCGGCATTTGTATCTTTGACATTTTCTGTGTGTGTTGTGTGTGCATGTGTGTGGTAGCTTTGGTTACCTTGCTGTCGTACAAGACTCTCGCCTTCGATTTGTCCGGCTCGTAGCACAGGACCTTCTCGCCCCTATTGAAAATCTGTAGCTCGTTTTCACGTGTCGTCATAACTTTAGCATGAATGGCGACCACAATTAACCGATGCCTTTTATATTATTATTTATATTTAACATTCGTCGAGACGCTCACGTTGTTGTCTCTGTTTGACATTCACACAAAATACGTTCACCCCAGGGCTGCAAATGTTATGCTAGAGAATAAGCTCGACTAGTTCATTTTGCTTGTTGTTTGTTTATTTGTATATGCTCTTTGCATAGTGTTGTTGCGTTTTATATGAACGACATCAGCAGTATCAACTGTATATTATTATTATTTAATAGTTATTTATTCATTATAAATTACACAAATTGATGGCATGTTGTATGCGAATACTGTGATTGGCATTCACCGATAGCTATTTGTAATCGACAACGATTGTTGTGGCGCAATTTGAAAACATACTGTTGCTAAGGAGAAAAACCAAAACAAAGAATTTTATAAGAAATCATCTGTTCATTTTCTACACATCTCAGAAGCAAGACTTATTAAAATGGCAACTGCATCAGCATCCAATTGGCTACATGTGGACATCGGCGACGAATCGCCGCAAGTCCTTTCAACTTTATCCAGCTGTTTGACGCTCAGTGACGTCCAATGTGATGGATACGTGCGGCTCCTGGCGGTGGACATCTCCTTGGAGGAGGATGATGAGATCAGTGCTAAGCTGAAAGTGTTTCGCGGACTGAAACTAAAGCAGGAGCAATCACTGCCCGGTATTCCAACTGCCATTGAGAGCCTCTATGTAGACGAATCAGAGCCAAAGACGCCGGGTAGATTTTAAATTCTAGTTACACATTTATTATATTTTTCATTTATCTTTCTCCATGCTGCAGTAATTGCAGTGGCCATCGCAGAATCCGTTCTGTTTTATAGGCATTTCAAGCCATACTTTAAGTTTACCATACCCGCCTTGGATGCCGAAGAATTGGAATTGGAACTGTGGCGCAAACTGCCCGTTATGAAACCGGAAACGCACCAGGAACTGCTGCAGTTGCTCAAGGATGTTGATCATGCCAAATTGTCACGTAAAACCCAACGCCTGCTGCAGCTGCCAGAGCAAGAGAGAGCCGTAAACTTAATCTAATATACACATTTTATTTATTCATTATTATCCATGATTCCTTTATAGTCTTTCATCAGCACTCACAAGGATTCGCCCGTGGGCCGCATCGGCAATATTGTGGCCATGTGTTGTCTAAGGCGGGTGTCCAGCAATGTCAATCCCCCCTCGCACTTGGTGCTGGCCGTAGACACCGGTCGCGTATTTGTTCTGGAGCCGCAGGGCTTCAATTTGATCTACCAGGCGAAAACGTGCAGCTATGAGGCAGCTGTTCCAAGCCTAATATCCGTGCACGGGACTTATGAGACGGATTTTTGCATTGTGATTGGCACGCGCAATGGCGGCGTCTATTTGTTGCGCAAGTCCAGCAGCGAGGGACAGGAGATCATTAAGCTGTCGACACCGCTAACGGGTCTGATACTGCTGCCCGTTGACCAGACAATCGTTATTACCTCCATGGAGCCACGCTATCTGTGCTACTCGAAGCGAGGCAAGCTGCTCTACCAGGTGCAACTGGATGCGGCGCCCGTCTGCATTTTGCCGCTGACGCTTACGCATCTGGGCATCACACTGGTGGCCGTGGCAATGCAGGGCGGCCGAGTGAGTTTCTTTCTGCAACGCCATGTTGTGGATGAGTTTATGATGTCGCAGACGGTGGCAGCCATGCTATACGGTCGCATGGGTATGGAGGATCATGTCTTGACGCTGATTACGCAAACAGGCGAGATAAATTTTAAGATTCTGCGACGCGTCACACATTTTGAGCCCGACAACAAAGTGCTGGCCTTGACCAGCAAAGGCTCAACAAAGTCGCACCCAATTGTCGACTCCTCCATATTAGACAAGTCCAAGAAGAGCTCGATATTTGTGGAGCAGGCGGCGCGCGAAAAGCACCAGGCGAAATGCAAGTTGAATGTTTATCTACAAAACGAAGCTACTTCTAATGCTGTGTTCGTTTTTCTATGCAGCCAGCTATGGCAGCTTTCAGGTGGAGCTGTGGCGTTTGCGGCACACTGCTGCACGTGCCACCTTAGATGCCATTAACTCCTCGGAGAGCACTATTTCAGGTGATCTGACGCATGCGCCTGTCAAGCTTTCGGCAGAGGTTTGCGGCAGCGGACCCGCTTTTCGGCTTTACCTCACCGTTCAGAATCTGTCCACATTTAAGATGGCCTCGAATTTGGTGGTGCTGCTGCACGCAGATCGACGTCACTACACCATTCAGCAGTCCGTGGCAAGACTGCCCAGCGTTCTGCCTGGGATACCGCTGCGCGTCGACTTTGAGGTTGTTGCCGTGCTGGATGCTGTGGATAAACTGCCACCGGCCAGTCTCACACCGGACAATTCCCAGATACGGGTGATGCTGCTGAAGACAGGACAGACCAAGCCGCTCATTGCAGCGGTTGTGGCCATGCCGCAATCGGAGGCAGCGTTTTAAAAGTGCTTCGCGATTAATTAGCTACTGTTTGTTGTTTTAGGTAAGATTTAATGTTTATTGTGCATTCACATGTATAATATAGCTAGAGCCTTGCTTTTAGCATTTAGGCGTATTTGGGCGCATATTTCTCGTAGACCTTGATGTATGCTTCCTTGGCGGCATCCTTGGACAAGCCCTTGTGTGAGCTCCATGCCTCGTACATGGCCTTCTTCTTCAGATCCAGCAAGCCGGGCTTCTCAATGTTGACATCGCCAACGGTGGCCTGCTTGAAGAGACCGTAGAACTCGAGGAACTCGGCATCTGTTGGCTTCTTGCTGAAGTTCTTGGCGAGTTCGCTTGCTTGCTCAAAGTTGACCATGTTGCTTGGCTAGAGTACGATACTGAGTGTGGCTAAATGTTATCCAGCTAGCTTCTATTTATAGTAATCCATTTTGGAACAATCGTGTAATTTAATTAAATTTAAATTGTGCGCCAGGCTCATGCTAATTTTAGTAGTTTACCTATCAGTATGTGCCGCTTTGGAGATTCTTAATTAATATTCTGAATAGCTACCGTAATAGATAAGAACTGTTGCCTGGTCTGCGATTGTTGCAAACACCGTGAATCATTTAGACTTTAAGCAAGGGGTGACGTGGCAGTGAATTGGGCACCACCGTAATCACCAGAACCACCAAAACTCATTAATCAAGTCATCGAGTTTATCTTTAGCACCTGACGGGATTGAATTGTTTTTTCTTTTTTTTCAAACACTCACTAAATATTCATGCTAATCTTATCGTTTAAGTGCATAAAGCGCCTGCCCATATTCATATCAATATATAGGTATATGCTTCGCTCAATGATTGCGAATACATAGTAATATTACTTTTGACACACTGCAAGTCAAAACTTTCCAAAATCAGATAAGCAAAACTCGTATGAGTTCAATACAAAATTATGGTCTGCTACCCAACAGCACTCACCGTGGTGCTTATCAGCATAGGATTTAAATAGAATGATATATGTATTTGGTGTGTGTTGTGTTTTATCAGAAACGGGAAAGGGAGCGGGAATGGGAATGGAAAACAAATCAAACCAAAAACGCAGTCTCCTCCATGATAAGATTAACCAAAAACAACGGCTGATTTTGTTTGGCGCCTGATATATATATAACTAAGCAATGTATGAGCTCTCCCAATTTGTGTTCGTTAGCCAGACATAATAAACCAATAAAACACAAACATGTTGACTGTAAGTAGAAATATTAATTAACGATATAATTTGAATATAACCGAAATAACTTTTTTCGAATTCTAATTGTTTGCAGTTTGAGGAAATCGTTGAGAAGGCAAAGAACTTCACCAAGACTGTCAGCAAGGAGGACTTCTTGGAGTTCTACGGCTACTACAAGCAGGCCACAGTTGGTGACTGCAACATCGAGGTGCCCACGGATGCAGAAAAGAAGGCTCGCTACGATGCCTGGAAGAGCAAGGCTGGACTTACCGCCGAGGATGCCAAGAAGCACTACATCGAGGTGTACAAGAAATACGCCGCCAAATACCAGTAGAATGTGCATTTAGAAAAGTTTGCGTGTCGATTTTTGGGAACTTGTCACACAAAAATATTTTTGTCGCAATTCCCGTTGTTGAATAATGTATTTATTCTATTTATGTATTTGTTAAAGTTAATAAACCCGTAAGCATTTAAAAATATCAACTCACTTATTTTTACAAACACGAAGTTCGATTTAATTTCAAATTCTAAGCGATCTAAATTACGCTCCTTTTGAAATAAATGCTTTACCGTTTCTTTGAAAACAGTTTAAGCTTGACTACAAAAAAGTTATATGCGTATTTATTGATGCAGTTGGGAATACTAGAATAAATGAATACAGTCTATAAGTTGTATATAATTTGGCGATAACCGGATAATCCTATTACCGATCCGTTAGTATCGAAGGGAGCTTTAAAAATGCCACGTCGATATGATGTAACTTTCCTAGGAAAAGAGACTTATTGTCTGAAGATGAATAATAATAAAATGGAAGAATTTGAACAAGGAGTTTTTGAAGACAATTGAACTTTAAGCAAAATTAAATTATCTGAATTAAATGAACTCAAAATCAATGCTCTGAAACCTTTCTGTGGATTGATCAATGTTCCAAATATAAATTTTAAATAAAATTAAGTTGAAGGACATTATTAATCTAGACTCTGGCTGTAGGAAATTGAACTCGGACTTTAGATATTTAGAATGAAGAACGGGTAAAACTTTATACACGACAAATCGCAATTGATTGGTGATGATTTGAATCATACATCGAAATTAATTTAGTGGTGACTGTACATTGAGAGATTGTCACGATTAACCTGCTATATATTTCGATCTAACGGTATATACATACATATATGAAATATATTCTAGGTAATCTTATCAATTGATCGCATAAGGTTCTTATTCATCTATATATTAACACACATTTATTTTTTTCGACGAAATGCATGTGTAAACTTTCTAATATCTGATAAGCTACCATAAAAATAATCGGCTATATGAAATCATATATAATGATGATATAATAATATATATATTTTTGTATTTTTTTTATGCAGTTAAATAGTGTATAAATGATTTCACGTTTGCGATTAGTTTGATGTATGCTATGATTCAGGAGTATATCGTTTATTGGAAAGGGGTATGGGAACTACTCGTTGTCAGTCCGAGGCATGATAAGATTAAGCGACAGCACCTATTTTGTTGCAGTTGGCTTATGGTACTATATAAATAATCGATTGTATGAAATTGTACATTTCATTTTCGTTCGCCAAGCGTACCAAACCACCAATATACCAATATGCTGAACGTAAGTAGAAATATTAAATAGTCCAGCAACTCGGATAGGCTAATTTCACTCGATTCTTGTTCGCTGCAGTTTGAGGAAATCGTTGAGAAGGCTAAGAAGCTCGACATAACCATCACCAAGGAGGATGTTTTGGAATTCTACGGCTACTACAAGCAGGCCACAGTTGGTGACTGCAACATCGAGGAGCCCGAGGATCCGGAGAAGAAGGCCCGCTACAATGCCTGGAAGAGTAAGGCTGGCCTGACCATCGAGGATGCCAAGAAGCACTATATCGAGGTGTACAAGAAATATGTGACCAAAGAATAATCAATAAACATATATTTACCTACGTATCTTATATATTTTCTTAAATTATTTATCCCATTAGCAATAACAAATAATAGTCGATTTCTATTTGAACCTAGAATTTGGAGACAAATTAAAATGCAGTAAGCTTAAGCAGATACTTCTTAATGAGAGAGGAAACACAGCTGCTGTGTTTATTTTATTCCCATAATAAAGGCTTAAAAATGGATAGTGAAATGTTTCCAATAATAATAATAATATGTATTATATTTAAGGTAACATAGCCATTTCTGTCTGATCGTTAAATTATTTGCTAACTAGATTCTTCGCATAAATATCTCTAAATATATTATTGAGATAAGTGCTATTATTGGGATAATTAGTAGCAAAATTGAGTTGATATATTTTGCTTATCAGTAGCCAGAGAACAATAAAAATTATTTAATTGTTCTCTGGCCAATCACTTCAGCACTAAATTTAGAAACACCTAAAAGTATACCACGATTAAGTGCCAGTAACGTTTTTAAAGCTTTAAAAAGGTAAGTATTCAAGACATATTCTGGGAATACGTTTATTAAATACCTTATACTTTCTGTGCAAATAGTAATCTCATATTTAATCCATTTTTTGAGATCGCGTCATTAATACCTTTGAACATCTTAATCAAACTTGCCAGCCATGTTGAAATTTGACTGCAGATGCCGCCTTCAGCATAATAATAATTGTTCAAATTTTACATTTTTTAAGGATCTCTCTTTTGGGGAGTGTGTTTGCATAAGAAAGTTGGAATTATAAAATGAATAATGCTCTGGTTAAGCTAGCAAGTTGCTCTATTGAATATAGAATGCAGCTCAATTTGGGATCAGCAAACAAAGTCCATAGAACTGTCTAGGCGAAATTCAGTTGCCAATAATTATATGGCCTGTTAGTCAGTGCAATTAAACCGTGTATCGCTAAGTGATCAACTTCTGTTTGCGTGGTGAGTGGACTTACACTTTGCACTAAGGTAAAGATTCGTGTTGCTACTGCAATCTTAATCAGCATTTGGAGCCACACCCACTTCAATCCTCAGTGCACAAAAATAGTGTATCCGCCTCGAGAGTGATAAAGAGTTCCCAGGCAACCGATTTGTCAGTAAACTTTAAACTTTATAAAGCTCGCGGAATTGCGATAATGGACGCTACACAGTTCCATAGACGATGAAAGCTTTGGCGCACACAATGATCGTGAGTCGCGAAAAGACTTAAATTGAATGTGCAATTGAGACTCGGATTCAGACAGTGTCGAGTTCTCTTACCGCCCAGACATCAAATCCAGCGTAAGTGCGTCCGACCGATCGGCGAACAGCGACAAATATGGCATGTTACAAGTGTCTCACTATCTTTAAATTAACAAACACAAATCTGTGTTATATATACACAACAAGAATATACATAGTTGCATACATAAAAAGATCCAAATCAAAAGCTCGTGCAGATAACGGCAAAGTGTTTTTGGCCAGCAAACCCAAATACGTTCGATTAATGAGTATGTTTGGCACGTATACGGCCCACGCCCAAAATGCCGTATTTGTGACGGGAATCGTGTGACTCGCTGATTCGCCAATCTGCTCCGATTCATCATAGGCCGCCACGCAATCTGTTAAATACTTTTGTATCTCTTGCTACTGCATACGCAGCCTCATAATTTTCATTAATAAGTTTCTATTTTTATTGTGCGGATGCCGGTGTTGTTGTTCATGCCGCTTTGGTGAAAGTTTATCTCTGCGGCGCCTCCAGAATTGTTGCGAGCCGAAATGTTCTCAAATCGTGTGTTGTGTGCCAAAGTTCACCAAGCCAGACACTTTGGCCGCAGCACATTTGACCCCAAATGAACAGTTATTTGTAGCAGTAACTAAGTGGATAGTTTTTTGTTATGTCATTTACATCACCAGATTGTATATTGTTATATAGCCTCATCATTCTTTCAATCTAAGTTGCTCCATAATTTAATCGAAGCCCATATTTCTTATTTACAGATTAAAATCTAAACACAAAATGGCCCTCACCGAGGTAAGTGGCAGGAAACTCCCCATCGATTATATTGATATTTCTAATTTATGATTAGCTCAAAACTTATCAGTTGCTTTTAATCTGGTGATAATCAAATAATGTTTAATATTGTTTGTTTGCGGTTACAGCAATTCAATGCCGCCGCCGAGAAGGTGAAGTCTCTGACTAAGCGTCCCAGCGATGATGAGTTCCTCGAGCTGTACGGTCTCTTCAAGCAGGCCACCGTCGGCGATAATGAGACCAGCAAGCCCGGCATGCTCGATCTGAAGGGCAAGGCCAAGTGGGAGGCATGGAACAAGCAGAAGGGCAAGGCCACCGACGAGGCACAGAAGGAGTACGTCGCCTTTGTTGAGGGTCTCGTTGCCAAGTATGCCTAAATTCGCGCTGCGCTCATATTCAAAGTAAACTAAATTGATTTTAAACAAAAAATACCAGAGAGACTAAAGCTATTTATATACATAAATACATATGTAGTAGAAAGTAGGGCCAACCAAAAAAAAATAAAAACAAAATATCTTCCTAATGTCTAATAAAATTTGATTGTAATCTTTTGTAAGCTGAACCTCGCCACACACCCAGTAATCTTTCAGGTAATGTTTTATTACGTTTGTTGTGTGAACCTGGTCACCTTTACGGCTCGACTTGGAATTTGAGTAAATGGCTCAACTTATTTGCAAGGCAAATATAAATAAAACTTGGCCTGGCAAGGCATCGACTTTTGAGGTAAATAAATACAAACACGTATTCGTTTCGATTGCAGCTTGTGAGTGATCTTCGGACGCTCTTCTGTCCATTAGCGCTTAACTGTTAATAAACTCATCGGAACCACTTTGGCCAGAATTAATCGCAGCCGTCAAGCTTTTGCAACGACCTTGAGAAGCCAGCTTCAGTTAAGTGCGTCAGATCAATGTTCAAGAGTGCAGCACATAATGAATTTCACGTATTCATATTTGTTTCTCGTTTTCTTAATCGCAGAGCAATGTTTACAGTCTCACAGCATTGATATCAGTTGTTAATAGCGGAAGTTTAAAGTAACCCAATATTTTACTTCCGTGTTTTTTAGTTTTTCTTTGATTGCAGAATGAGTAATAATAAGAAGCCCTGCGTATCCATTAAGCGTGTTTAAATCAATTTTCTATATCTTGTTTCAATAAAGATAAACGAAGATACACAAACTCTATATTTGTTGATTTGAACAAAACAATTATGCTAAAACTTTAGAGTTTACTTAAGTTATTTTGTTTATTTTAAGCATTGTTAATATTTAAAATGATGTATAGTCTAAAAGTCGAATAAGTCAAATGAAACATCAGTTAATAAAGTGATGGAATTGCATCGAAAAATGGCAAATTAAATTATTATATAGGAAGTATTATATTTGCTTCCTTTTCTAATGCATTAGCAACTCTGGGAAATGCCGTTAAATTCAAAAGTGAACCGATAGCAACATTTCAATTGCTGCTGGCAACACGCTGTGTGTCTGCGTCTGCTGCTGTTGCTGTTGCTGTTGTCTGTTGCGCCGGCTGCTCAACAGGTGAGCACAGGTGAGAGGCAGACAGAGTAGGTAACAGGGGCGAAGCACACAACAACAAAAATAACACAAGGCGCTGTGCTGCGCTGCGCTTTTTGTTTATGAATGAAAAGCGCAAAGGCAAACTGTGATAAATGTGTGTGAGCAAAAAACGGGCAGCAACTACAAAAATGTGAGTAAGCCCACCAACAAGTTGCCAGATCGCGATCGCCAGCCAAAAAATCAAGAGAGAGCCAGGTTGAGAGAGAGCGAGATTGAGAGAGAGGGAGAGAGAGTGCTAGCGAGCGAGCAAGCCTCGAGAGAGTGGTAGAGAGTGTGCTAGAGAGAGAGCAAGTGAGCCAACAGCAGCAGAGGAAGCCGAAGAAACAGTTGTTGCTCTGGGCAACTGTCGACTGTCGACTGCTGGCATCAGTTTAGTCTACGTTTTGGCCTAAACGCGTTTGCTTGGATCTGGCCAGCGCGCATGAGCCGTCGGTTAGTCTGCTCTTCTGCTGTTTACCCTCTCTCTTTCCAATACTCTGTGTGTGCGTGCGTGTTTGTGTGTGTGTGTGTGTTAACAAAATGTGATTAGCAAAAATACAAAAGAAGAAAAGAAGGCAGCGCGATATAAAAGCAGCATTGTGGCAAAAACGAACAGATAGTGCGAAAGTGTGTTAAAAATAACAGCCACAAAATAAAAAAATAAAAATACACAACAAAGACAATATGTTTTTGCATATATTTTGCACAAAATACGAACCAAATATATATACATATATATATAATAAATACTAAAAAGTTGAATGCGCTGGCGCTGCAACAATACACAAGAGCCGTACAAATATATTGTTAACAGCAATGCTGAATTTTGTGCTTTATCGGCAATGGCAGCAACAAAAAAATTCATATTGAACAACACCCAAAAGCCAACGCCAAAAACAACAATAACAACAACAACAACAACGGCGCAACGGCGGCTGTGCGGCTGACTTGGCCGACAGCTCACCAACACCAACAACAGCAACAACAACAACCACAACCACAACAACAACAACAGCAACAACAACAATAGCAAGCAAAGTCGTCATCTACCTTTTTCGTGCCTTTTCAAGTGTGTTTTTTCTGTTCACTGCTGCGCCCCCCGCTCAGCAGAGCATAGAGGCCAAGAGAGAGCAAGAGAGAGGAAGAGCGAGTGCGAGAGAGACAGCGCTAGTCTGGTTGGCGCTGTATTCAGTCTCGACTTCGACCAGTTTTCAACTCCGTGATATGAACCAGCTGTGTCTGCCTCGGCCTGCAGCAACACACAAACATATGTACACATTTATATGTACATATTTACATCTATACATCCATACATAGTATGCAATTTCGGTAAGTCTAACGTTTACCGTTAAGGCGAACTCCGCAAAGTTCGCTTGGAGACGGCTTGAGGCTTGAGGCCAGGCCAAAAAGCTTATCTACCTGTTCGTTCAGCGGCTCCAAGCCACGCAGCTAATCAAAAGCGCTCGCTATAAAAATGTGCCAGAGTGTTTTTTATGAATATTTTTAAGAGTTGAGCAACTCATTTTGTTCTTTTCATCTTCATTATTATTATTATTCTTTTCCTTTTTTGTATTGCTGCTGCTGCTGTTGCTGCTGCTGTTGCTGCTGTTGTTATTGTGGTTGTGATAATCCGAAGCATTTTATTTGCGGCTCTTTTCATTAATAAGTTTCACGCGCCGCTCATTTTTCAACAAGTTATCCCCACGCCCCCTAAAACCCATAAAGCCCCCGTGTGGATATCTATCCTTTGCTTAGCTTGTGTCTGGCTCGGATTACCGTGTTGATTTTGTATTCACTTATGTATGTATGTATGTATGTCCAAGAGTGTGCATACATCTATGTACATGTATGTATATTTCTTTGTAGGGAATAATATAAATTCGGTTTTCGGTGTTTTCTGTTCTTTTTTAGTTTGTTTTGTTTTGTTTTGTTTGCTAATTTCTTATTTTTTGGGTTCTCACGCTGTGGTTTCATAAATTTGCCAGGCAATTTGTATGGGACACTGGTAAACTAAGTGCTTAGCCATAAAAATATAGTTGTTGCACGCACACAGGTAGAGAAACATATCTAATAAATGTTTAAGAAATATTTGTTTGTGTTCGTTGTCATACATTCTAATATAATACAAAACAGAATTACAAATGTGCTAAATGGCTAAAATAAATCTGGTGCATATTGATGTATATAAGTTGATTATTCTCCCCAGTCGAACTTAATGTCTTAATTTTGTAGAATATTATTTTGCAATCATCGCGCACATTTTCAAAGGAAACCTGAACAAACATCTGCATAGAAATTGTATATATTCTCCTGATATAAACTTACAAAATTTGCTTTGATTTATTTGTACGATCCCTAAGTTTTCTATATAGTTATCAGAAAATATTTTGTATGCATAGCAAAATAAAACCAAACCAATTTTATGAATTTGTTAACTTGAGCATCGTATATGAGCTCAATTTCTCTCTCGAGAACAATCCATTACCAACTCCGGCAATGACAGTCTCTCCGCAACTGCTTAGGGTAGCCAAAGGCCATAAACTAAAGCCAAAGCCAAAGCACGACCAGAAACTAGTTTCTGCCAGACAGCAAGAGCAGTAAACCAAAGATTGTGGCCAACATAACGACTAAACTTATAGGCTATGAATCTATGACTCGGCGTCTGTCTGCAGCTCAAATTGAGTCGAGTCGAGGCGAGTCGAGTTGTGGTGACTTGCAACTTGGCCAGGCGCACGACACTTGACGCTCCTCTGCCCAGGTATTTGCAACAACAGCAACAATAACAACAACAACAACTGCAAATGCACAAATAACTGTGGCAAGGAATGCGCAAACAAGAACAAAACACTTGCCATGCACGCAATGCGAGTAGAAATCGAAATATTGGCATTTCAATTGCAACACGTATACGCACCGTGTGCTAAATGGTAATATGAATATATATATAAATATATACATAAATATGTATGTGTATGCGTGGTTGCAACGGGGAATAGCGGAAGCTTCCCCCACGATCATATAACCAAAGCCAAACCAAAGCCTTGCCACTCGACTGCCCACTTGGCCCTGTTTAGACGTTATGGTTTCTATCTCCCTCTTATAGTATAACTTTGCATTTGTATATGTATCTGTATTTGTGTATCTGCAGCTCATTTTGCATCATCGTGCAAATTGAGTCATTTGCTAATATGTCAACAGGTTTCCATTCTCTCACTTTGAACTTTGTCATTTAAGCAATGCAAATCAAATCGAGCTCACAATTAACTCTTCTGATTTGTGCGCTTTTATTCTATTCAAAAATTTTCAAAAACTTGAAAATACGAAATCCGTTTCAAACACCTCCTCCGTATGATCGTGTTTTTGTATTTGTGTGTATGTGTGTGTGAGTGTGTGTGTGTATTTGTGCTGGCTGACTGACTGGCTGGCTGGCTGGCTGGCTGGCTGGCTGGGCTTGTGGCTGCTTGTGTATTAACCTGCCGCACCGGTTTCGGTTTATGTTTTAGCCAACGCCATCATCATCATCATCCATTACTTATACTTATGCACATACACACATACATACACACATACATACATACACACATACATACATACATATATATATATTTACGAGTATTTCTATTTCTCTTTTAATTTTCTCTCGCGCGCGCAATGTGGTTGTTGTTGTTGGTGCTGCTGCGACTTGTTGCTGCCTCTTTATTTATTTTTTAACCAGTTTCGTTGCTGCAACCTGAGCGCGAATAAGCCATAAATAACAACAACAACAACAACCGCAGCAGCAATCCAAGTGCTGCGGCTGTCCCGATTTCCAGGAAGCAAATACAAGTCTGTCCGCCTTGTCGACTGTCTGCGTCTGCAATTCGCGTGTAGAGCGAGACAGGGATAGAGCTCCTACTACTCCACCTCCTCCTCCTGCTGCTGCTCCTCCTCCTCCTCCTACTCCTCTAGGCCCATGGATTATGCAACTTTTGGTTTTTATTTGAAAAATGTAATAATCCACAGCGCATTGGCGTCGCTTCCTTGATGGCCAGTCAGACAACACTCATAGCTCACAAGCCGCAACAGCAACAGCTACAGTTAGGGAAAGAGACAGAGTTCGAGACAGAGACAGACACAGATATAGAGACAGAGACAGAGAGAGAGAGAGAGAGAGTGCGAAGCTTTTGCAGCGCCCACAAAGCGCATTCCATTGTTTGGCTGAGCTGTCTTAAGTCTTAAGTCTTAATTCTTAATCCGCTCGCGAGTGGAACTGTGGAATTCTGCGCATCTAATCAAAAACCAAATGCATTCCGCACTTGGCCAACAAACAGTTGACTTTTTCGTTGCATTCACGTCAACGTTTCGCCAACGTTTTACTTTAACTGTGGGCCGTCGAGAGGTCTGAGTGATATCAGAGAGCAAACAAAAAAATTCCCCATGTGTTTATTTTGAACACTTTTCTCAGACAGCAGGCAGCAGCTGTTTAGGGAATCCCCACGGAACCAAACAGAACACAATTCATTTTCAGCACCAAAGCTACTTTCTTCAACTATTACTTACTTGCCGAGTGCATGTGCAAAGATTGCCGAATCAGTTGAAAATACAAAACTACAACATGAACATTATATACCTTAATATAGGTATATTCCGTTAACCTTGATCAACAGTGGCAGCAGATTCTACTTGCTAGTTGTAGCACATATTGTTAACAGTTGGAAAACCATTCTAATTAATATATATGTTGGCAAGTGCAAAGTTTGATATTGTTATCAAATCTATTAAAATTCTCCGTAAGGTCAGTTACAATGCAAAGCTGATAAGCGAAGTTTTGTGATAAGAACTTTAGCTATAATATGAGTGTGGTCTTTATCGTCGATACTAAATATTTTATATACCCAAGATTTTAGCAAACAGCTTTTAGTGTGGAAAAAAGTGTCTGTTCACAACTAAAATCAAATTTGCTTGGCGATAAACAAAAACTAAGGGTTAAACAATGCAACAAGTATTTAGTTGCACCTAGAGTAAGTCTATTTATATAACTCCATATATAGTCCCAGGCGCTAGATGCTTGCAGCGAGACCGATAAAGAGTAAGAGAGATGGAGAGAGAGAGAGAGAGAGAGAGAGAGAAACAGACACAGAGAAAGAGAGAGAGAGAGAGTGCAATAAAATTATTGCAGCAAATATTTAGTCAAGTGGAGATGGAGTTGCATTTCAGTTGGCTGCTTAGCCCCATTTTACCCTTACCCCCCTGAAATGCTCGTACATTTCCATTGCCAGGCGATAAGATAAAAATCACGGCGCCTGAACTCTGGGCACTGAGCCAAAAGCAAAAGAGCTGGCAATGAAAATACTTAAATAAATAAATTCGACTAGCAGGCCAGTGGTGAGTGCGAAACTAATGTCCAAAACTGCCATCCATTGCAGCCCATTGCCCAAGGAAATGATTGACTAGACCCGAGCACCGTTAGAGAGCCGAGGCTACGACGCACGACGACCACGATGCACGAGCTGTTTACAAAAGTGCTCGCCAAGCGAGATCTGTCACGAGCCGGAGATCTATTCTCAGTGCCCGATGCGGATATTGTGAATGATATAACGGAGGTGGTAAGTACAACTGCTGCTACTCTTAGCAAAAACTATGCCCTACAATCACTAATTTTGAAAATCAACTTGAAAAACTATTTTATTTAATTTTTTATACTATTGTGTTATGTAACTCACAAAACACACTTGATTAGATCAGCTTTATTTCAAAGAAAATGTTTAATTCAGAATATAAATATATATTCCTTTTTTATTTATGAAAAATATTTCAATATTCTTTTCAACAATCCCTGTGAAGTTTGGAAGTAAAATATCAAGATTTTTTAATGGTATTACTACCCATCTACCTTTCAAATTAGGTAAGCTTACAAATTGTGGGTCTTATCGATTTATTCTAACAGGTATATCAGCTTAAGGAAGCCGAATGGGCGTGGTCATACAATTTTTATCAATCTCTAAGGGGAGTTACCAGGAACATATTTTTAAAATTTTGACTCTAGCTTACAAATGACACATTTCACATTTCTCGGGCGGCGGGTGTGGGCGTGTTCTAAAAATGTATATGCCGATCTTTTAAGGAGGCATCCAGCGGGTTACCTTCCAAGTTTGTTGACGCTTTCTTTAAACTTTTGGGAGATATGCGGATTTATCGATTTACGCTTCCCGAAATATCGGCTTTGGCAATTGCGGGCGCAGGCCAGTATATATTCTTCGGTATCGGAGTATAAATAGAAATCATTCTTAGCAAAGTTGAAGTTCTGATCACTCTTTATTGTATTACTAATTGAAATACAATTTTGTAGTTACACATATGATATTACTATAGATATTACACAGAGTATAAAATTAATAAATAAACCACTCCGTGCATCTTTGCACTTGGAGCCAAAGTGATAACGAGTTTCTGAGTTTTGAACTCATTTGACATTAGGCGAATAAATATTGTATCTTGTCCATTTCAGTTGTCTGAAATCAATCCAATCATCTCCCATGCGGACTACGTGAAGAACAACAATGATCAGAGTGTGGTGGAGATTTGTGTCACCCGGGTTCTCTCCTGCATACGGGAGACACGCAGCGCTGAGCATTATTGTGCCGCTCTGGTGGATCTGCTGAGAACATGTCTGTTGTGGAATCTACAGCCGATCTCGGCCACCAAGGAAGAGCCGCCACATGCCAAGATCGCTGCCGATATAATCTCTAGCATATTTTTGGTGAGTTTCCATTGAAATTGCAACACGAGTTGAATTCGACATTTCCTCATCTGTTTCTCTCTGCGCAGAACTATGATAAGAAAGAACTGATGAAAATAGCGCTGCCCATTGCCGTGCAGTTTCTGCCCAAGGGCAACAAGGAGCTGTCGCGCAATCTGGCCAGCTATCTCTCCCTGGCGGCCATTGATTATGCCTACCTGTTGATAGATATCATGGAACCCATCATGGAATCCATACTCTCCGGCAACTATGGCCTACTGCGTGTTCTCTCCCAGGTGTACGAGGTGTCACCCGATACGGTGACGCCGCATGCTCCTTTGCTCATCCCGCTGCTGCCCCAATGCGATGCGCAGGAGCGCATGGCGGTCTTCCAGCTGTATTTGCTCATCGTGCAAAAGTCGCCGGCGGTGCTGGAGTCCTGCGTGCCGCAGCTGTGCGATTGCCTGCAGGACAGCGACACCTCCAACATCACCATGCAGATTCTGTTGAAACTGGCACAACATGCCCCCCATCTACTCGTCGATCATTTCGAGCAGCTGCGTCTCGCCGCAAAGACCAATCCGAGCACAATTACGCTGTGTGCCCAGATATTGACCACCGCCGGCATTGGCAGCAAGGAGACGGCACAACAGGCCCTCGACTTTGTGCTGGAACATCTGCCTGCCCAGGCACTGCTGCAGCAGGAGGCAACGCGCCTCTGCTCCGCCTATCCGGTGCTCTTCACCGACAAGGTGCTCGCCTGCGTGCGCCAGAAGAACGCGGCACTCAGCTCCCAGCATGATGTCGGCAATGCTGCTGCCGGCAACAAGATCTCTGGGGGCATCACCATTGTCAGCCTAAACAGCAGCTCCAGTCCTAGCCCCAGCCCCAGCACACAGATTAAGCCAGGTAAGCTTTATATATATGCGTTCTTCATCAATAGCAACAGTGAGTAGTCATAGCAGCAGACGAGGTGTCATCTCTCAGCTCGTTTGACTACACTTCTCTTCTATTATACTGAGGCATTGGACGAATCAGAATGTTATATCAAATAACTGGCAAAGAATATATTTGTTAATTATTATTTTGCAAACTATTTCTTTGCTAGTGATATAATGCTCTGCAGATATCGGAGTCCGAAGTCTAAATAATCATTCGAAAAACTATTTCTTGTACTCATTTTTTGTTGTATTTGAAGATATCTTATCGAAACTCATCTGCTGGAAATAAAGTAATAAATTATACATTACTTCTTGTTGATAAAAATGAAATATTAAACTATACCTAATGAGTTTGATAGTGAGTTTCTATACCCGCTAAATGATATAGTGACTCGATGCAACCGGCTCAACCGACAAATTGCCTGCAGCAAAATAGCCTGCATTCCGACTTAAAATCGCGTTTTCAATAATTTAGGATTGTAGGATTGATCTAGACGCTTAACCAAGTTCAAAAAGCCCTTTTAAAAATCGGATCAATTTGACAAGTTAAGGCAGATGTATTTCTTTATATAGAATATTTACATGGCACGTTTTCAACTTTGAATGTAGGCATAGAAACATATAGACAGACATACAGTTAGTGATGCGGATCGAGAATATATTTACCTTATGAGTTTGAGGTCGTCTGTCTTAATGCATTACAAACTTCACTTCACAAAATTCGAATACCGAATGCATGGTATATATATACATACACACATATATATATATATAAATATAGTCCATATATCGCGCACTGCAAGGTGATTTAATAATCTATTCTGTTATTTTATTAGCACCTTTGGCAACACCCGCCAGCAGCTCAACCAACATTGTTCAGCAGCCAGGCACTGTGAATGCCACGCCCACACCTATTGCCGCGGCCACAGCGACTGCCACGCCCACACCAAGTGTAGCGCCCGCGCCCATCGCCACATCAACGCCAGCTGCTGCCACGCCCAGCGTTGCCACGCCCACGCCCCCTCACACAGGCTATACGCGCCGCGTGAAGCTGGGCGACTCGCGCAGCACGGGTCGACTGCATCCGGCTAGTAACACACACAGGAGCGTGACGCGGCTGAACGTGGCAAGTGGGTCGGTTGGCGGGCTGCACAAGAGCATGACGCGACTGAGCAACTCGCAGATCAGCCAGCAGCCGGGAGGCAGCTCCAACGGCAACGTGGTGGTGCAACAAACGGGTGCCATGCCCAAGACGGCCACATCACTGAGTAATCCGCCGGTGACGCCAGTGCCGCCGCTCAGCAACGATGTGATCATCACCGGGCACAACAAGCACGGCATACCGGTGACCTCGGGTGGTGTCACCGTGACCACGTCGCCTTCCAAGGTACGTCCGCACTCGCAAGGACCCTCAACGCTGCTCAACTCCAGCACGGTACTGATGAAGTACAGCACAGATGCACTCAATCAGTCGGTGGGCTCCATATCCATACCACATGCAACATCTGTGGCTGGCGCAGCAACAGCCGGGCAGCAATCGCCGAATGCCGTCTCCGTGCATCATGCATCGCCAGCTGTGCCGCAATCGTCAAGCAATGGCAACGCCAAGTCCCTCATGAAGCTACCCGTAAATGGCAATGTACGTACTCAAAGCAGATGCACATTTTCTCAGCGTGGGATGCAGCAATTAAATCATCTCTCCATTCTCTTTACTTGCAGAGCGAGGTGATCGTTTCGGGTCCCACAACAACCACAAATGTGGCGCCTCGACGCAGCGACAACACGAGTCGAACGCTGCTGAATGCCAACAGCGTGATGGACCAGCGCATGAGCACCTTCGAGCCATATCAGATAATGCGCGATCCCGTGCAGCAGTTCTGCGAGAAGAACTTCGTCTCCATCAAGTCATATATGGATGAGGTGTCGCAGCATCTGCCGCCGCCGACGCGTTGCAGCATTGAGGGTAAGTCTCCGCACATTGAAGCAGTGCCTGCCACTGCTTGGCCTGCCACTGCTGGCACTGCTTTAAAGTACACTCTCTATTTCGACTGCTTGCTACTTACTCTCTACAACTCTACACTCCTTACACACACACACACACACACACAAACATGCACCACATCCATCACACACACAGTTTCTAATGAATTTGCAGAGCGTCGCAAGAAGGTGGCCAAGCTGCACTTCGCCTGCCAGATACGCGGACCCCATTGCCTCTACTCGAAGACGTGCTTCACGATGCGCACACGCAATCCCAAGACATGGATACACATGATATTCCTCGACTTTCAAGTGCGGCACTTTGTAAGTTAACGATGCTCGGTGATGCACTCAAACCCAACCGAGTGGACTAATTTATGCAACTATTTTGCTTGACAGGTCAAGGAGAAATGTGTGCTTAGCACACGGGAGCCGGGCATCAGCAATCTGAAGAATATCTGGCAGATACTTAAGTGCGAGAATCGCAGCTTCACCGAACTGGTCACCAGTCAGTTTCCCCAGGTCAAGGTAGATGCGGCCAGAAAATAATCGAAAACCCTACAGTTTTTCCAACTAAATAATTAATATTTTAGGATCGCGAGATACTTGTGAATGAGCTGCGTCACTCGGGCTTTCTGGATGTGTTCGAGGTGTCCAAAACGGACAAGAGTAATCCGAATTGCAATGAGCTGGAATATCAGTGGGGCTGCTTTCTGTGCAATCATCCGGACAAGGCTGTGGGCTTCCTCAATGGCAGCAATCAGCCCATGATCGAGGGACAGCTGAAGGAGAAGAAGGGCAAGTGGCGACTATTTAGGCGCTGGCGCACTCGCTACTTTACGCTCTCTGGCGCGCATCTCTCCTGCAAGGGATCCGTAAGCTCCACAAAACTGAAAACCCCATTTCAACTGAACTGAATACGAATGGTTTATTTTTGTTTTTTTAGAGCGGCGGCGAGAGCATCGATGTGAATCAAATACGCTCCGTGAAGGTATCGCGTGGAGCACGCAACATACCCAAGGCGTTTGAGATCTTCACTGCCGATCAGACCCTAATACTCAAGCCCAAGGATGGCAAGAATGCCGAGGAATGGGTGCAGTGCCTCAGCATTGTGGTCGCTCACTCGCAGGCGCGCGACAATCCCACGGTGAAGACGAACAGTCTACCGGCCCGGAGCATTGGCAGCAGCAAACCCTCCTTTTAGCCAGGCCATGCCAAATCCGCTCCCCTGCCCCTCACCCTCCCAACCTGAACCTATATTGTGAGATTATTTGTAATTGTAAAGACAACAACATAAGACATAAGCGGCTGCCGCCAATTAAAGCTGTCTATATATATACATACACACACATATATATATATATATATATATATTTATATAAGCGAATACATGTTATACATAAACGTATTTATGCATATATGTATATTTATATGCCCATACTTATAGACTTTTCTAGCAAGTACTTACCACTTCAAGGGATTTTTCAAAAATTTTGCGAAATTGTTTTTTCTACATTAGTTGATTAGTTGATTTTTTACATTTAGTTTATGCTTATTTATTGTACGTGTATTATACAAACAACATGCTATCGAAACAAAATCAAAAACAAAACACTCTTTTCATATTCAATGCAATAATATTCATTCATATATTCAGTTTGCTTCAGCTTTGCCCATAAGATAATATTAATAATAATACTTTTCAAATGCGTTGCACAAACCAAGGCGCTGCTCAAAAGTATGCAACACAAGATTTATTGGAGCGCTGAAGAGAGGGCAGCACCAAATTAGAGATATAAAAAAAAAACAAATCGAATTTAGTTGTAGCTATAATATTTGAATACTTCTCCAGGCATTTAGCATGAAACATTAAGATTTAGATTTAAAATTGAATAGAGATATCTGATTAGCTTTTCTAGGTTGTTAATATTGTTTTATGGCAAATTAACATAATAGTTGCATTGGCTGATAGTTTGCTTTTAGGCTGTTGCATAAGATGTTTTCGAATTGGACGCCAACGTTTCTAACTAACTACTTGGAATTGAACAACTTTTAAATACTAATAGTTAACTAGAGAATTAACAACAAATTTGACACAATTCAAGGCTCGGATGTGCCATTTGCATTGTGATCGCGCTCCTCCGAAAGGTCCAAGAGCTGACTCCAATTGGCATTTAGACGTACGATTTCCATGTCTCGACGTAGCTGCTGCAGTGGATCACCTTCATTCAAGCTCTCACAGTCGTCCAGGACGCGCGTCACATGCTCCAGTTGATTGGCATAGATGCGCAGACGTTCCACATTGTTGTTATCCGGAGGCGCCGCAGCAGTATTGACCTGGCCAAGGATCATTTTGGGTTAAAATTATGGCAAGTGCTTTGAGGACTCACCATTAGCTGACTGCCGCTAAAGTTACGCAAATAGCTGCTGACACGTGCATCCTGTAGCTGGCCGCCAGTATGCCACATCTTTAACAGATTCAAAATGCCCAGAACGTCGCCCTGTTCGGGCTCCTGATTGGGCGACAGCAGCTGCATGGGCGGAAACTCCGTGGTTGGCGACAGCTTCTTGTAGCTGCTGCACAATGTGCTCAGCGTGCAGATGTCCTCATTGAGGCGCTGCCAGCCGGCCAGCCAGCCAGAAAGCATAAGCAGGTGCAGGAGCAGGAGCAGGAGCAGTGGCAGTGGCAGGTTAATTTGTGATGATTACGAGTAGAGTATTGGCAATTAGTTAACGGATTTCATTTCAAACGAAAGAGTGCGGTTTTGAACTTGATTTGTGACTGTGACTGTCCATTGGATGATGAACATGAATGGTTGGCATGAGAAACAAATGACAAGAAATGATAGATGACAAGATCGTAGATGGTAAACGAATCAACTCAATATATATATAAAGTAGGCCAAGAGTTTGAGTTTATTCTAATCAAATAATACGTGTAATTGTATGACTAAGAATACGATTAACATAAGATAAGATCAGCTGCTCGCTTTCGCTGCTCGATCGAGTGTTTAACATATGAAAATATATCTGGCGACTAAACGATAACGATATATAGAAATGTCTTCGAAGGGGTGCGCAACACAAAAAAGTCCAAGAATTAAAAATAAAACGCGGCTCAGAACCTTACGTCGATCTCGTTGCGATGACGCTGCATTTCCGATTTGGCGCCACTCAGATCACTGCCCTTGATCATTAGCTCCTGCGTGGCGTCCATGAGCTCGTCCTGCAACTTCAGATTGACGTCCTCCAAGTCTTTTAGCTTCTCCAGCATATCTTCCTTATGCTGCTGCAGTTTGTTTCTGCAAAATGCAAAAATGGGTAGCCAGATTAAATCATTTGCATCACTTTGGGCAATTGAATCGCACTCACTTGTCCACGATCAGCTGCTGAATGCAATTGTCGTTGTCCAGCTGCACAAGCCGCAGCACCTTGAGCAACTTCGTGACCAGAGTGTCCACCTCAATCACCTGGTCGACAACCGCCTGTGCTGTGCTGTACTCCATCAGCGATGGCAGCTCTGCCAAAGAGTCGTGACAGCTGAGCTCCTCGGTGTTGCACGGATCGCGATTGTTGCTGCAAATACATGACAATTAATACGTGTAGAGGTGAAAGGTGGAATTCAAAATGGAATACTCACTTCATCGGCAGCACGCTGAGCTTGTGAACGTGCATTTCCATCTGCTGTCGGTTGGTTATCGCTTGCGAAAGCTGCTGCAGTGAATCATCCCCCCCATTGGCCGTCGTTGGCTGCTGGCTGCACTGGCTGATCAGCTCCGTGGGCAGCTCGATTTGGGAGATCATGCCCGTGCACGAGGATACCATGTTGTGAGAGTGCGAATCCGGCTGCACCACATCCTCTAGCACGTTATCCATCATGAGCAAACAGGGCTGCAAAGAACAATTGGATTTATCACAATATTACAATGGGCATAAATGCTATTGGTGATTGATGCACTTACCTCAGTTTCCGAGTCCAGCATTTCCGTGGAATCAGAGTCGTCTGTTTATAAGCAAAAATTAGTTACAATTTCAACAGAGACCATAATCGCTTTTATTTGCTCACCTCCATTGCCATTGAGATTGGGCTGCTCGTTGCTGTTCGTCGTTGTTGTGGTATGTGCTGTGCCTGCTCCAGTTCCAGCTCCTGATGCTGCTGATCCGCCAGATCCTTGGCCATTTCGTTTGCCCGCCTGTCGCAGCGAAAGACGCTTGCCCGAATGGGTAGTCGCCTGGCGTATGGCACCGATGACGGCAGCTATGAAGGACTGATTGCGTTGCGGCGACAGCGAGCCGTCGCTGGTGAGAATCAAGGTGTGCAGCTCATCGCCTGCCATTGCAGGACTCAACGGCAAATCCAGTCCATTGGGCTTGAGGCCGTTCTGGGCGAGCTCCGTCTCCGCGGCGAGCGACTCTGCCTGGAATCGTATGTCCTACAGAAGAGCAAAAATAGATTAGCCTATGTGCTCCACTCACACAGCATGATGTACAACTCACCTCTAGATCCTGCTCGGAAATGCTGTAGGAGCACACCAGCTGCTCCACCAGATTGTCCAGTCGAGCATGGAGCCCGGACAGCGCTGTCGAGGCACCAGCCACAGCTGCATTCTGCTGATGGATCAGCTCCCGCGATTTGTTCTCCAGCGCCGCATATTTCGTTTGCAGCAAACGATTCTCCTGCCGACGCTGTTCGTTGAGACGCACCAGGTGGCGGCACTCGTCGCGCAGCACTTTCGCCTCGTCCTCGCGATTGGCCAGCTGCGCCTTGGCCGCCTGGTGTTCCGTCTCCAGCTCGCGCAGCGCATCGCACTGAGCGGCCTTCTCGTGCTGCAGGAAATCCTGCAGCTCGCTGGACTCCAGCTCAATGGCCGCTTTCTCCTGCAGCAGCAGCTGCTGCGTGCTCAGCGAGCGACGCATCTCCAGCTGCAGGACCCGGCACAGCGCACGCAGCTGTACAATCTCCTGCTGGCGCTCGACCAGTTCGTGGCCACTCAATTGGATCTGGGACTCAAGCATGAGGAGGCTGTCGTGACCGCTGCCATCGCCACTGTCCTCCGATGTGGGTGTGCCCGCACTGGCACTGCAGACGCGCGCCATTTCCAGCATGCCCATTACCCGTTCCGTATTCAGATGCAGCTCCTGCTGCATGGCCAGTTTCTCCTCGCGTTCGCGCTGCAGCTTGCCGCTCAGCTGGCGCACCTCCTGGCGCAGCTGTTCGAGCTCATGATCTCGCTGATCAGGTTCCGCTTGCGTGCTCTGATCCAGCTGCTCCACAGCGTCCAAGGCGCGCGTCTGCAGCACACCACCGCCCAGCACCTGCTCCAAATCCTCGCTGGTCAGCGCCGTCTGCACCGCTGTCTCGTGATAAATGCGCGTCCGAATCGGCTGTTGCTGTGGGCGACGTAGCGAATTGACCTTGGCGGTGGCTGTGGGTGGCGCCAGGCTGCGCCGACTTGTGGGCATGATCATCACCGACGACGTCATGCGTGCATCCACAACAGCCGCCCGACTGATGGAATTACTGCGCGACAATCGCCCCACACTCAGATCCTCCACAGATTGTTGCTTGCGCCGGCGAGGCAGAGTTCCGCCTGGTGGGATTGAATAGATTGATTTATGCAAAAAAGAAAGGCAACCGTGACAGCTTACCTGGCGCTGGACTGTGTCGCAACCGGTTGGCCATCACATCCGGGGTGACAGACATGCCACGACGGGCACCTGCAGCGCCGCGATTCGCCGGCCAACGTCCGTCGTCCGAGGGTGTGCCGGGTGTGCGGGCGCGACTGAGAGATGGGGTGCGCTGCATCTGCACCAGTCGCTGCACGGATTGGGCGCGATTCAGGGCGCTGGGCAGCGTGTCTGGCTTCTGTGGGCGTGGGGTGCGCAATGGCGTCGCCGCATTCGACGGCACACGGAACGAACTCGAGTTGGAGATGCGTGGCTTCTCCCGGGCCGGTGTTCCCGCTGTTCCCGTTGCGGGCGTGTTGTGGGCGCCGTTGCGTGGCAAACTGGCGGCCCGTTTTAAATTGGCCACACGACCGCGCAGCTGCTCCGGCGATTTGCCCAATGATTCCGGTCCGGACTCCGGCTCGAACATGGCCACCTTCTTTTTGATGCTGCCATTGCAGCGACGCGGCGGCGGCGTCTGCTGCGAGCACTCGCTGCTCTGCTCGCTGGGCGAGATGTTGCTGCTGTTGATCAGATGCAGCTCACAGCTGTCGTAGATCTCCTCGAGGCCATTGCTACTGGTGTAGCCGCCGCTGGTGCTACTCAAGCCACGCTGCAGCGTCTGCCGCGACAGGCAACAGCTGCTGGGCACATCCAGGCCACTATCGCTGCCATCGCAGTTGCTATGTGTGGTGGTGGTGGTGGTGCTGCTAGCCACCACTGTCATGGTCATTGTTTCGCTCTCGCCCAGCTCCAGGCTGGCCAGGCACATTGCCAGCTGCTGCTCCGTCTCACTGGCCATTTGCTGTTGCTGTTGATGTAACTGCTGTAACTGTAATTGTGGATCCTCCATTTCGAAGAGCGTGCCGGACATGACACAGCTCACCGGCTAAGAGAAACGGAGAGAGAGAGAGAGAGAGAGAGAGAGGAAGAGTGTTTGGTTAGTGCGAGTGATTCACGGTGAAGCGACCCAAATTTTGTATGCGGCATGCGCGTATTTTTGGGATGCATTTGGCATTTTAGTTGCATGCCCCCCAACGTCGTCGCCCCGCCGGCAGTCCAGATTTTCCTGCCCGCAAAAACGAGTTGCACACGACAACGACCTTTTGGCAAACGGGGCATGCCGCATGTCTCGCTCACTCTCCCCTTTTGCGGTCAAGTTGGACGATCGTCGTCGTGCTGACAACTCTGGCCAGCTGCTGGGCCAGGCTCTTGATTGACTTAAACTAGTTCACATCTGACACTCGACTGGGGACACACAACGGGGCCACACTGCATAAGTTATGAGCTGTTCCTCTCATCAAACATTTGGCAACATTTGTGAGACGCACACTTGTCTTGGCCCCAAAAATTCGTGCCACATTTCGGTCACCTTTTTGAGTTACCAATTCAGATTCACATTCACATTCGTATTCACATTCCTATTCGCATTCGCATTCGTATTGTTGTCCCCGCAATTCGTTTCACAACCCATCAACATGCATCATCATCTATTGTAGAATATTTATAAACCTTGCATGTGGCATTTGAATTTAGCCCACGATATTAATAAGTTCAAGAGGCAACTATCGCTTTCCTACTACCCTCAAAAGTTGGCCAACTTTAAGTAAAGTAAAATAATAGTATCACACCGAAAATATAGGTATTTGCTATGGATATAGAGATATAGTTAGGTTCAAGAAATTGTAATTCCAAAAGAAGATGCGAATAGAAACATAAAAAGACTAATATCATAAAAGTATTTTTTTTAAATTTTAAAAAATAAGTGAAATTTAAAGCTTTTGTAAATTTTTGTTATACATATCAATTAAATTTTATTAATTTTTTTTTAGGTACAAAACAATAAAACCAAAATTGTTTTTGGCGTTTAAACTTTTGAACTTTAATAATGGTTTTAAAAACTATAGTTGATGCTAAGAATGGATTATAAATAAATTATCCAAAATTATAAGCTTTAATAAAGTAGTGTTTAATATGAAGCTAGTGTTTCTTTATCTTATTACGGCTAGTAAAGATAATGTATATCTACAATTAAATTCAGAGAACAGACCACAAAATTAAGTTTCGTATTGTGCTCAAAACGCTTTTCAAAATATTATATTAATTTAAAATCTTTGCGGAGCTTGAAGAACATGTTTTTCCACTTTCCCATTTAATGAATAAGAAAGAAATTGGTTCATTTAAATTATTAATAGGTGAGGGCATAGAAGGTTCGTTGTACTGCCACCAACAATTAGTTGCTTGTTATTGTTTTGTTTGGTTCCAAACACGCATCATTAGTGGCTGCTTGTTATGCGATCTGCCAGAGATTTTTGGCCAAATTTTGTAGATTTCATCATCCGCACAAGCTGAAAGCGAAGTCATAATGAAGTTGCTCCAGTTTTCAGTTAATTGGAATTTCATTTGTGGCTAATTGCAATTGTAGATATAAAGTTGGGCGTAGCTATAACAATGGGAGGAAGCTGAGCTGAGCAAAGAAGAAAAAGTAGGAGTAGGAGTAGTTACCAAACTAGTTTTTGAGTATTCCATAGAAACGAGATCCTGTTAAACGACCTTGGCTAGAACATGTTAAAAGCTGAAACATGCTTTAAGCTCGTTTGTGCCATGTGGCAGCTAAAGTGTTGAGTGTTGTCTTGTGGCAGGCAGGCATGAGGAAACGAAGAGGCAGGCTGGAGATGATAGCGGTCTAATGAAGGGCACTTCAAGCGCGCTGAACAGGCGACAACGAGGCAGACTGACTTTGAGTGTCGCACAAGGCAACGACGTTGTCTTTGTGCCTCCAGCGAGGCATAGCGAGGAAGCGATGCAAGAAAAGCATAGCAAATTTCCATAGCCATCAAGCCACACAATACAGACACAGACACACATACATACACACACACAGACACACACAGATAAGCACACACAGCTGCAGCGCAATTGTTAAAGCATGAAAAAGTATCTGGTAGATTCATAGATGCAGATGCGCACTGAAAGCACAGCGATGCAACATCGAAGCCATCTTCAATGGTCTGGCAGCGCTTCGGGCTGGGGCTGAGGGCTGGAAATGAAGTTGTCGCTGCCCATCGATCGCTGTGGCCCTGACAATGAAAGATTGAGCTGTAAGCTTGTATCTTTTTACTCTTTTTTTTACAGCTGTCTGTCTGTCAGTCGGAAACTCGTTTTGTTCAATTCTATGCCAAGGGAAAAAAGCAAAGAATGCTTTTGCATAAACCGGAAACCCAAGCTGCATTCGCTGGCCATGCTCAAGGCGAAAGCGCCGCCCACCCAGAGGAGAAGCAGGTGGCCATTGCAGAAGGGTTTTCTATCATCTTCATCAACTTTACGGCTCATTAACTTCAATCAATGAATGATGCTGGCGGGGTCAACTCGGTTTCCTACTTGCTGCAATGCGCTTAATTCGATTAAGGCTGAAGTAAAGCGAACGCAGGCAATGCCAGCGACATTTGCCAAGTTAATTAAAGCAACGAGCATCGACTGCGATTAGCGTGTTTTAAAAGCGCGTAGAGTTTCGCGCTTTTTTTTGCCATTTATTCGCAAGTCGAGCAAACTAACTTGTGTGTCAGAGGGGGGGTTGGTGGAGGGGGAAATAGCACTGACACTGCAACACAGTTGACAGTCAGACGCATTGCGGCAACGTGAATTGGATTACCAGTATGCAACTTTCGATTGATGTGAAAAACTCGACCAAGTTGAGAAAGTTCATTGGCTTATTTTAAGATAATTGTAAATTTAGATATCAGATGAACATTTTTATGAAACAAAATGAATATTTACATGTTGCCTAAGGAGGAAACGCTTTGACGGAAATGGATGGAAAATATGTTGATTTCGTGAAGTTTACAATGCATTGAGGGAAGCGTCTCCGGCTCCATAAACCATATATTTATTTAATGTTGACTAATATCAGCCAACACAGAAAAATACAAAAAGTGGAAAATAATTTAAATTAAACTAAAAATAAAAAAAAATTATTTAAATTAAATAAACAAGAAATATTAACATGAATTTTCATGGTATTTAAATGCAAAATCGTAATGGTTTTTTTCACGAGACAAGACGTTTAAAATTGAATTCTTAATGATAGAAATCGGTGACTCTGAATTATGCAGAGTACTCGAAAAGATTCATGCAAGGAATACTTAGTAGTACAGCGCTTAAGAGAAAGCCGGAAGAAGTAGCGGGTTGGTCCAGAGGGAGCAAGACAATTAATTTGGCTCAACAACTGAGTGGAATCGATTTCATTATTTAGTAATTTAAATACAAATATAACAACTAGCATAACACGATAATTAGTTAAAGAGTATATATTCGTAATCAGCATCATTAGCTGATTCGAAATAGCCATGTCCATCCAGTTTTTCTTGTGCAAGCTAGTTGCTCAGTTTTGTAAGCTATCTTAATGAAACTTGTCATGAACAAGTCGCAATTTCTGCAGGCAGTATCAGGAATTATCACTATAACATAAAGCTGCCACATTCGTCATGGATTTTATAAGAAATTCCTAAGATAAATTTCATGACCAGTACTTTTATTCAATGGAATGAGTGCATCAAGTTTAACAAAAATAATCTTTTTACTAAGCATTCTGATTCGAATTGTAAAGAAAACAGTTGCAATGACTTTGCAAAACAATACCAAAAAATACTACAGCTCTCAACTGTGCAATACTCTGTTGTCAGTGTAAGAACAGGTCAACACAGATGATTTAAAAAATATTCCGATTTATTGGATTTATACAAAGTGCATAAACAAAATTTTTCGGGCTTATATCGTTTGAAATAAAATTCAATAAATATAAAATCGCTTATAGTTGCAAAAATTCAATTATCATATGAATGTACTTTAAAACTAAACATAACAAATTTAAAATTATTTAGAAATAACTTAATGCATTAAATGCATTTTATTTAATTTATTTTGTAGCACGTTTATTATTTATTTTCGACTCAAATGCACACCATTTTCTATGCTGGTTTTATATATTTATTACTGAAATTTAGTGCAAATCTATTTATGAGAATATTGAAGCTAATCAGAAAAAGGCAAATAAATTCCACAATGACTGAAAAACTCAACTCAGACTGAGTTATGGGCCATAAAAACTTGTTCATATTTGGAGATATATATATAGTAGAGAAAGAGATGTATAAATATTTATGCACTCGTTTAGTATTATCATGCAAATGCTCATCTCGATTGTGTGGCATAACAAATTCTGTGCCACATGTTGGGCAACTGTGTGTGTGTTTGTCTGAAAGAGGGAAATACGTTCACTTGCATAAATTTCTCTCAGCTCATTGTTGCTCTTGTTGTTTTTGTTGTTGTTGTTGTGGCAGTTGCATTGAAAACAATTTATATCCATGCCTCGCATTTATGGCAATTTATTTTGTGCTGTCTACTGAGGGGCCAGCTCTCAGTTCTCACTGCGCTCCTAATTCCCCCAGTGCCCACCTCCCTCTTGCTTCTTCTTCTCTTTTTTGTTTTTTATTTGGGTAGGTGGATCCAAATGTCGCGACTATTTTAATTGATACTGAAATTCGAATACGCTGGCAATTCTCACGCTTCGACAAATCGACAAACAGGTGGACAACAATAATAAGCTGCAGTGTGTGTGTGTGTGGAGGGGGGCAAGGGAAGTTGCCACGCCCCTGCTCAATGTTGCTGTTGTTGGTTTATTGAACACTCCTCGTCGTCGTCACAGCACTTCCTGTGGCAGCAGCGACAAAGACGACGACGACCCACGAAACTCAAATGAACTGAAACATTTGTGCTGCGAATTACAATCGTGGCCCCGAGGCCCGCATTTGACGCAGCATGCCCCCCGGCCAGCTGTCCCCTTGCCCCGTTGCCACGCTGCCCCGTTGTACGTTTCACAGTTATAATGAG